AGAGTTTGGATCCTTGAATAAAATGATTATTTCAATGTAACTAACCGTCTGCTCGTTAATTTTTGCATTATTATTAAGGCAAACTTCGACCGCCTGATTAAGATAAATAAATATCAGATATATGTATATTTTATCCAATGAGGGCTTGAGCAATTTATTCAGGTAATATTTGAAATGTATGGCTTTTAGTTACCTTCTTATGGCCGTATTGAACAGCTAAATGGAGAGCAGTATTACCAACACCATCTGATTTATCAATAATGTCCCCAGGGCTAAAACCGCAAGTGGGCACTGTGACAGAATAAGAAAGTAGGATTTAAATATAAGATTTAATCTAATATTTAATGGGTATACTATGGTAAATATCTTTTAGGATAATAAAAGTCATTCTAACGTACAAAAAGCCCATTTCCTTACCATAACTGATTAAAAATGTTATAATATCATGATTGCCGGCAGATGCTGCAAAATGTATTGGTGTACGACCATCGGCTGCCATCGACAGTAGACCCGTATTATTCGAAGATAGCTGGAAGTGATATTATAATTTCAAGGTTAGAAAGATCGCTAGTGAATCGTAATAAAAACGTAAATCTTTAACTACTACTTATGTCGCATATTAACCGTACAGCCAACGTTAAATAGTTTACTGCTGTAAGACTATAAATGTCGCGTGATTATACATTAAGTAAATTAAACAGGTGAATTATATCTTTGTATGCGTATTGGAAACTAACCAGCAATCGAGATACTTCAATATTACCGCCAATCATTGCTAAATGTAACGGAGTAATGCCATCTTCACCAGCAGCTGAAACATCAATGCCTTTTGCTTCAAGTAACAACTAAAAATGATATGATAGAATTGTGAAAATTGATAAAATGAAAGATGAAGATAGTCTTTTACATTTTATACGCACTTTGACAGACTCTTGATGGCCTTTACGTGCTGCTAAATGTAATGGGGTAAGTTCATTTTTTGATTTAGCATTAATATGGGCTTTCTTCTCCAAAAGCACCGGTATAACCCTATGTAACATTTATTCAAAATTACATTAGAATCAATTGCAATGGCATACATCGTACCATTTTACTGTGTGATGTCAGCTAGCTATGACAACAGGAAGACACGCGATGTGATAGGACTAAATCTTAAACTGTCAAAGTCATCTTTAAAAGTAACAAAGCGATAATGTAATCCATGTTATCGATTGATTGAAGTTTGTATAAATGTAGAGATTGTGTAGCAGTATCAGCTACGTTTTGAATGTTTTCACATTAGAAATGATTATTATTAGATTAATAATAATTTAAAAATCCTTTCAGAGTATTTATTAGAAGCCGCTAATTTGTAAATCACTATAGACAGCAAGGTTTATAACAAATTTACTTTACAAACTACGTCGATTTGGGTAGTTACAACTGATAAACTACATTAATATTGTACGCCGGCTCTATGGAAAGAATTTAAAGATAAATAGTATTCCAAAATTTCGAATCCAACTACTACATCGTGTTATTACTTAACTTTAAGGTAAGGCATAAGTCAAACGAATATTTAGATATAATTTTGCGATACAATAATTGATTGTTAAAGCATAACTTCGAATCCATGAATAATCGGATATTAATTTGACTTACTCGACAGCGTTGTATTTAGCCGCTATATGCAAAGGCGTCAATTTGTCAATTCCTTCCTTATTAATATCTGATAGCGAAATAAAAAAATTAACATAGAGTTAAGACAGTATAAAAAAATCCATTTCATCTCTCTATGATTTGTAGTGATATTCTAGTATTAGATGAAGGAGTTAGGATTACAGAGGGTATAAGCGAGGCCGTTTATCTCGATTGATAGGCAATATGATTAATCTACTAGCAGAATCAATGCGAGTTGTATAGCATAACTTAATTCATAGCGAATTATACGATAGATATCGGCAGTTAAAATTTGAAAGTTATTATATCGGTTAATTTAAGCCATTTCCATAATCATAAATAAGTACTGATTAACGTCTTTCTACAATTTTAACGTCATTTAATTTCATTCATATTGGATTCTACGTGTACTACAGTATTACTATTAGCAAGTCCTTGATTAAATCAAATTTATTGTTAAAAAAGTTCTCTCCTCATTATAAATTGATTCGATATGAAGTTTTTATCAACAATATTACGTATATGTAACTTGCAGGAATAATAAATACGCGTGTATATAATTTAAGACTTGCTGATCGATTTAGTCGGGCAACTTACTTGCTTTCTTGGAAAGTAACTTTTTAGCTATTTCTACTTTATTGGCGTAAGCAGCATAATGTAAAGGTGAATAACCATGATGATCACAACGATTTAAGATATCGAGATTGACTCCAACAGAAAGCAATAATTCATTAAATTGATTCATATCGCCGTCGCGGATAACCTAAAGAACGAGATTGAAAGATGAGATTAGTTATTCACTGGATAACAATTTTGTCATTTGTTGATTGTCTATCAGATCAATGTTTATTATAAGCTCAAGTAAAACTTGTTTCCTTCACCTTTATCATTTAAAATTCGAATTGAATTAGGCTTTTAGACGTATAGTATGTATCACGATAATTTTAAAACGATTATTTATCATACGTCAACGATCATAGCCTTATCTTATACTCTGTCTACAAATTTAGTAGGTCAGATTTTTAGATTTTGACCATAGCACTAACACAATCTGTTGATATGCTTTGCCCTTTCTTCTCCATTATGATTGTTGATTTGTAAAGTATAATGCTTATTTGTACAGAAGTGCTTCAAATTTATGGGAGATAGGCATCTGGTATTGGAAAAGCAATTTCAAGATGTTTACCATGATTACTTCATTTCTAAGCCTATTTCATGGTATGAATTAACCATGATCGATAAAATATTCCATTTTTTTCTCCCTCTCTAATAATTATTATCTAATTATCATAATGAACTTAGTTAATTAATGGTACATAGACACACTTTGTATAGGATGGCTTCAAGTTAATCGGATTTAGATAGTGGTCTTCCGCATACATACAGTATGAAAGCAACTTTAAGACAATTTTTTCCTTTTTTTATTTTTATCGAATTATTACGATGAATTTAAGTTGATTATCAGCTTAAGATGAATAGAATTTAGATTGTGGTCTTGTACAGTATCTACAGTATGATAAAAGCAATTTTAAGACATTGATGACTAACATGGATCCATCTTGTGATTTTTTCTCTCGCTTTTCTAATTCTATTATTGCGCTCTCATCAACTTACTTGATTAATAGCATGTAATATTTGCATAGAACTGCTTAATCCGGTATGGACTGATGTATCACCCAAACTGGTAAATTTGGACCCAGGCAGAGCTTCACGTTGGGTTAAATCTTGGCTAGGACGGCGAATATTACTCAGCAAGCGTGAAATCATGATGGCTATCGAATCAATCGAGGAGCGATAATCTTTTTCCTATAATTGTTGCGGTTAGGCTACGACTGATCTCCAAACTTGCGAGAGAGAGAGAGAGATTGAAAACGCTTCTACTAAATTGAATGACGTGAGAAGTAGTTAGCGCTCGATCTGGTCAAATTATACGCGTATTAATTTATTTCTAAATTTATCCAATCCAGTTTACAAGCAATAAAATTAGCAATCGTCTTGGTCACTCCTATCGGCTTGATTGCTAGTTAGTCCAATATCAACGATTGAATCGTTTCTGGTTAGAATAAGAGCACAGAGGAATAACGCTAAGTGAATTGAATAATAACTGGACGACTTGTCAATAATATCCAAGCAATGGAAGAATACGCTATTCTATTTTAATGAGTATAGGCGTTGTTCTTCTTGTCACACCCATAATGACTAGTACTGAATGTACTGTAGTATAGAGACTCGGCTTTCGCCGAGAGTGTATTTATAGTGCTGTACTATAAAGTAAAAGTAAGTACAGGGGACAGTAGAACGAAGGAGAAGGCAGATTTTGCCAAATCATAGAACAAGTGACGAAATGGCTATGATAATATAATCGAGGCAAGCAAGAAGAGTCTATTTCTATTTATGAACAGTAACTCGAAAGTCAGCCTTTAATGACAACTACACAACCATTCAGGCTGTTTACTGCTTAGGCTCAGCACAGTACATGTAGGCTGTCCAATGTCCATGTACATTCATTGCCCATACTGTATAAGAAGTAGTGTTGTTCACTCAGGATATCTGAAGAATATGAACATGTCGTTGTAAAATTAAATATCAATCCTGCATGCTACATTACAGTATTGGTATATGAGACAACGATTACTAGAAAAAAAATCCATCATTCTTTTTCTAGTGCCCCGAAGACCGCATATAGTAATTGCACTCATTCGGTCATCCACCAATACTGTACAGTATAGAAAGTACCGAGCTAGGGTCGAAAAGGCACGCGCACTACTTTTAACAAGCGTATTTTGAAATTTTTCCTTCGCAGTCTATAAAATAGTCTCTTGCTCCATGTTTTACTTTGTCGTGTGTCTCCAATAAAATTGATTAGCAAACAGCAATAAACTTGCTCCACTGCCCACTGACTCCGTCATACCTGCTTCAATTTTAGACTGAAATACGACTAGTCTACTCTGTAAACAAGTGTCGAAAACAATCAGCATCGTACCATCCATCGTACATCGTTTCACGAGCTGCAAGGGTTTCAAAAATCTTCCATTTGCAGCACTCTGCAGTGTAGCAGGTATAAATTGATAACAGTGCAATCATTGATTAAACGGTTTGTGCAAATCAAGTTCTCACTGTCGGTAGAGTTTCTACTACTGATGTGAACCGATCGATAATTATAAGTAGCAAGTCAGAAGTTACAAGATATTTGTATTGTCAAGACAATCATTATAAGTGAGGAAGAAGACGTCATGGATCGATGGATCGCCGCTGTAACTCAACATTGCTCCTGCATACATCTAATATTAGCCGCTATCACGATATGGCTTATCGCAATATGGATAGCGTATCCTGATCGAATGGGTCAAAACAACAATCGTTACATTTTAATAACTGGTTGCGATTCAGGATTTGGCAATTTATTAGCTAAGCGTTTAGATTTGATTGGATGTCATGTATTTGCTGCGTGCTTAACCCAGCAAGGAGTTACCCAGCTAGCTCAATCGACTTCATCGCGGGTCAAAACATTCATGATGGATGTTACACAGCAACAAGACATTGAAAATGCTTACAGCATGATTAAGGCTGCGCTACCAGAGGATAGAGGTATATGGGCAGTAGTCAATAATGCAGGTATACTACGAACTGGATTAATTGATTGGATGCCAATGGAAGAATATAAAAAGGTCGCTGATGTCAATCTATGGGGAATGGTAGCAGTTACGAAGCGTTTTATACCTATGGTCATTCGTGAACAGGGTCGATTTGTAAATGTGGTTAGTTTATCTGGTGTCTTACCATATGAATACATGGGCGCTTATACCATCTCCAAATTTGCTGCAGAAGGCTTTACTGGTGTACTACGTCGAGAAATGGCACCATTTAACGTTCAAGTCAGCAGTATTAAACCAGGTGTCTTCCGATCCTCGTTAGTTTCACCTCAACCACTTTTACAGAATGTTCAAAAAATGTATGAAAATCTACCCCCTGAAACCTTGGAAAATTATGACGAAGAATTTATTTCTGCAGGTACCTTCCCTACTGATATTGATAAATGATTACTATGATGATCATGGAGGCTGCTTATTCAGACTCAGCCATTTCAATTTAATAACATGAGATTCTACTGTCTTGTTTATTCTCAAGTCTTAGTATTATTGACTAAAATAGGCAAATAGTCCATTTATCAATGCAAAATTCAAATGTATTACGTACCTTAACTTACTTTAAATCTGTAAATTGATTCTAAATTCCCCACTGTCACTCACAATTAACGCTTATGTTGGTATGATGCACAATATTGCATATTATTGACATCCTCATATGCATTTCATAATGTATATGCTATTCTTTGATCGGCATCAATAAACATCCTGAATGCAGTGAAAAAGTATATAACTGTACATATCTAATATCCCCATATATCGCTGAATTATATTATTACATGCGATTATGCATAAACTAGTATTTTTATTATTATGAACGAACTGAATACAGTACTACATGTCATAAAATCGATAAAATTAACAAATTGACAAACTATTGCTATCTTCCTTATTTTAGTACCTACAACCTCAACAACATTACATGACTTCGGCTCATCAAAACTGTACTTGGTCATTAACGCTATTGAAGACGCTATACTATCAAAGCGACCAAAAGCTGATTATTACATAGGTTTAGATGCATTCGTTCTTTCAACTCTCACTCATTTACCGTCACTGTTAACCGATTTTATCTGTAAACTATTAATACGGCCTGTTCTACCTTCGGGCAGAAAACGTAATAATACGCATTCAGCAGCAGATTCAAAGTAAATTGTTAAATCACTGTTTATCGGTACTATATCAATCTACTTGTACTCTACACCATTAATTTGCTACAGTGAAGTGTAATACCGTATAGTATTTTAGCCTTCTAAAAATACTTTGTTTTCATATTACTAGGAAAGCCATTTATTTGCTCTTCGATTCAGTTTCATTAACCCATTGTAACTACTTAACGTAATGAATCAAGAGATCAATAAAAACTAGATGCTGTTGAAGTTTTATAACTGGATATGCTACAGTATGTTAGTAAGATTGCATACTGAAAATACTTCTGTGTATTCCACGAGGATTGAGCACTTGTGGAGGGACGACAATGGATAATTAATTAATTTATTTACTAGACATACATATTACATGCTTGCAATCTACTCTTGCCTTTTTATCTTACGTACGTTGTAACTTTAAATTACGGCTATCTCAACAGATATTAACGGTAACCAATGAAATAAACAGCGCTTCCGGATTCTATACTCGTATACCAATAGTATTATACACACTATCGTAGGTTCGGTTACTATCGAAATAACCCTGAACAGAGCAGATATCTACTAGCAACACCAAGGAATGTGGATGCATTTAGTGATTGCATAAAACAAACAAATAGTATGGTATTAAGCTTCATTATCGAATCAGAAGCAATTTTTTATTGATAACGCCGGCATCAGACCATTTTATAAGAAGCTTTTATTATCCGTGTTAATTACATCGCTAAACTACAACGAGGTTACGATCCCCATTCGCCTCCTTCTTGAGCACCCCACTCGCCACCGGTTTCATTGCTCCAACTACTTTTGGCAGCAGCGGCAGTATTGCTTGCGCCCCATTCAGTGGTCTCTTTAGAAGGACTAGAGGACCATTCTTCAACAGGTGCTGCACTGCTAGGTACTGCTGCAGATAGTGCAGGTGATTGTTCAGGCGCAGCCCACTAAAGAGAATATCAATATTGCAGTTACAATACGAGCGTATAACTGATCCTGATTAAATAATTACCCAACCAAAAAGTTTTAACTTACATCTTGAGTAGTAGGAGCAGCATCGGTGGTAGCAGCTGAAGCTGCCCAATCAGTGCCTGTAGTAGCAGCCTCCTCAACCTTATTATTTTGAGCTTGTTCTTCCTTTTCAACCTGCAGATAGTCCACAAATGTGATTTAATGTTAACTCTACATGCCGAATCATGTATCATTTCATTAAATCATAAAGCTATATTACAAATTTTTACGTACTTCTTCAGGATCCCTGTAAAAGAACAGATCAGGCATATGCTCCCAATCAGTATCACGTGAGATAGTACCGCGTAAACGTAATACCTCTCTAGCTAATAACCACCACATTAATCCGATAGCATGAGCACCCTAACGTTAGAATAGAATTTCATAGTAAGCTTAGGCAAACAAATCAAGATACACAGTCTACGCAACGAAGAGTGCATTCAAATCTTTTCAGCAAACTGTGCACTACTGTGGATTTTAACTTGCGCTCTTTATACCTTATTATTACAAGGAATACCAACATCGATATATCGTAGTCGAGAGTCAGTGTTGCAAAAAGCGATGACAGGAATGTTGACATAGGAAGCCTCGGTTATGGGCTGTATGAAATAAGTATGGTACAGTCGCTTAGAAAGAATCGTTTCCAAAAAGCGGCAACTAATTTGTTAATATTTACCTGATGATCAACACGAGGATCGGTGACAATTAGTAAACGTGGCTCACGGTAAGCCTTTTGGATTTGATTGGTAAAGGTACCAGGTGTAAAACGACCAGCAATGGGTGAGGCACCGGTGAATTTGGCAAATTTCAAAACAGCCCTCTGAATAAATACAAGCGTGAATATTGTCAGTTTATAAGGAATAAAAAACTTTGTTGAATTTATATCTTCAGAACTATTCGTATGATACTGAATTGTATCGCTTTATTTTGTTAATAACTACGTTTAAATCACCTGGCCATAGGGGCGAGCAGATAAAACGCAAACATCAGCTGGGTTTTCGATTGATGCAATAATACGAGCAGCTATCAATAACTTTTCCCAAGTTTGGCGTAAATCAATAATGTGGACACCTTGGTAATAGTAAAAAAGGAGTTATGAACTATTAATTGTAATTATCGGTTAGCAATGAGATCGAATTGTGTAGTACACAATACGTATACAGTAATCAAGATCAAATGTTGGATATTAGTAGATTCACTTCATATTTACCATCAGTTCTTCGCCTAAATACATACTGCTCCATTTGATAGTCAACATTTGTGGTGCCCAAATGAGCAGAAGCAGCTAACATCTTTGAAACATCGTCAGCAGTTAATCGTAAAATGTCTAAGCCTCCGGACATCTTGTAGCTGTCAGTAATAGTAACGGTAGACAACCTGAAAAAAAAATAATTTTCATCATTTCCACATCAAGCGAAGATTTCCAATTCGTACCGTATAATACGTATTATTATGTCAAGGATAGAAAATGTTGGCGATCTGATGCGTAACTACGCCATTATACGGCTGAATAAATTCAGAGCATGCAAGAGTCGGATTAGATCATAAGCTAATGTAGTACTGTACTGTACAACTACCCATGATATCGACATTGTCTTAATAATTAACTATCGTTCAATTCTGAAACTTACCGGTATAATAGGTGGAGGATTACAACTATATTCTACTTTAACGACTATTCGTGTACTATATCATACCATATCTAGTACCGCATAATAGAGATTTTAAAGTATTGTAGAAGGGAAGTTCCCATCAATACAGGATAGAAGGACTAAACAACTACTGTACTTGGAGCGTTTACAACTTTCCATAAACTCTCCGAGTTTTACTCCTTCATAGTAATGGTCGAAAAATACCACTATAATATTGGACAACTGCATATCACAGGCAGAAGATCAAGTACATTAGAAGCTGGGGACTATTGCTGTACTCTACTTTAATAACCATTAATTAATGCACTAAATATAACAGAATCCAACATCTAGATCGTAGTAGGAAGGCTGCCTTCCAAACAACGACTCTAATACTGTTACTGTAAAGTACTGTTGAAGATTTTCAATTTTTCAAACTATCCAATTTTCACTATTTCACTATAATATTATGATCGAAAAGTGACTTAATAGTATCAGACTATTTGATATCATCGTCTAATCAAGAAGAATTCGTGAACAGTGTGATTTTTTAATGGATTTAAGTAATATTTCCAAGCCTTACCTGTTCTTAACGCCAAGTGGAAGCCGATATCGACTAGAAAAGGAGGAGCACGCGGTAAGGCACTGGGTATATAGGGGTCCATTACGCATGCGTATACCGCACAGCCTAATGTGCAAAATAGATGTCCTGAAGATCGATGCTACTCCGATGATAGAGTCCGATCTGGGAGCCTAAAAACCATACTGAAACTACTATTTTTCAGTAGTAATCACACCAAACAGTGCCAATCAATAATGGTCAGTGGTAATTGTTGCTATTTGCGCAATATTTGAGGAATTTCTCTCCATATTCGGATCAGCACTTCACCGATCGCGAAGACATCCGTTTTGTATTGTATAGTACATCATAGTAAAGTACTGTACAGACTGGGAAAGGACTTTAAGAGCTTAAGAGCTGCATCATCAGTTGTTGATAGTACAGTACAGTATGCAAATGAACATGTTTTTCATCAATAACTGACGATATACTGTAGTGCACATGAGCTGTCCAGAAGTTACAGTCCATAGAGTTACCAACACTGTACTGTACACTGTACACTGTACTGTACCGGCCTGGTACTGTACCAGTACCAGCACACTGAGTACAGTACTCGTGGTGGCACTGCAGTACTATAATAAGTTATATAACCTAGTACTGCTAGTAGGATAGTTCAAGGATTTTAGGTGTACTAGCCATTGCTCAAATTAATTTTTGATATTAGCAGACATTATAAAGCTGCAGTAACTGCCTCCATATTTAACCACTTGTTCTAATCTTCACCTTAAGTTCTACTCTCCACTGTGAATCATCAGGCTGTTGTGAAATCGAATTGATCTGATAGAGATTTTATTATTTCAGCTGAACTTGTAACTCCACAAGATTGTGCAGGTCATTTCCGGCTCTGTAGTGTACTATAGTGTATACGGATATTTCAGGGAATCTCCAGGCATGAAATCAATGAGGTAATCGAAAACACATTGATTTCTAGATTTATTAAGCTATACTAGAATGCAAGTATTGCATTTACAAGATAATAATGAGGTGCAAAATGTAGTACTGTGTTTTAGAAACCTTGACGCTCGTTTGCATGCGCAAGGAAGCCACATGCTTACAGTATACTCGTACTACGGTGTAGTATAAAAGCTAAATGTTTTTAAGATCACTGCTTTATTCTCTACTGCAAAAAATGACTACTGTAGTTTAATAGATCAAGTGTTGATACAGCAAATAGGAGTATTAAGCATTTTAGAATAAAACTAGATGACCATTGCTCACTTTATATCTATAGTATGAGGGTGAAAACTCAATCTGTTCACTCCTGAGCCCTAATTTGAATACTCACACATCGTATTTACTCATTTAGAATCAAGCTTTAGGATTTGGCACTTGATAGAGATCGAAAAGTGGAAATGCAGGTACACAAAATTAGGGCAGGTTATATTCGTATTACAAACACTAGCGTTACCAAGATAATAACGGCTGTACTGTCGAATTGGAATCATACTTGGACGTTTTCACGTTGCAATCGTTTACATCATGGATTACTGCGGCGACCTACAATGATCGCCTCCGCACCAATAATAGTTAAGAGATTTAAATCTAATGATAAAATCAAAAATTTAATAACTGTTGGAGCAATATTAGAGGAAGCCCTACAGACCAAGCAGAAAGATAGCTTCCATCAGGCTATTGACAAGTTTAACGCTAGGGATCGCCAACGCCGTGGTCATGTTGACTTTATTTATTCAGCATTAAGTTTAATTGATAAATTTGAATTGGAACAAGATATTGAAACTTATAATAAACTTCTAGACGTTTTTCCAAAAGATCGTTTTGTCAATCGTAGCTGGTTAGATGTTGTATGGCCTAAACCGCATCCACAAATTGACTGTGCTTTGGATGTGTTAACAAAGATGGAGGAAGAAGGTATTCTGCCCAACGAAGATACATATCGTATATTATACGACGTTTTCGGTAGAAAAAGTTTCCCATTGCAGAAAGCGCAACGAATTGAGTATTGGTTTACCCGATTCAAAGACATAAATCCGTATAAACTGCCTTCCCCAGTGCCTACTGATCCAATAGAATTAGGAAGCATTGCTTTGCAAAGAATTGCTGGCTCAGATGGAGTCATTACCATATACGAGGTAGTAGAAAAACAGATTATAGACTTTATATTTGTATAGAGCTGAATAGTTTACTTACATTGGTGGGAATCATATACTGCAGGATTTTAGTATAAATTGCTTAATGATGATAATTTCATTTTGATTGTGCATTTATTAGCATGACAAAAAAAATGGTGAAGATAAATTTCTCCTCGCAATTCAAAGTCCTAATCAAAAGCAATTTTTAACCAATTATGACACTTCCAAGCCATTACTTGTTGAGGGCCCTTTTAGGGTATGGCTAAGCAAATACCCCCAGTATTATTACGTACTTAGAGCCCATGCTAGCGTTCAAATTGGTGAAGAAAAAAATGAAGAGGGTAATTATGAATATAAATTTGATTTGCTGATATTATTTTGTGCAACTATTTTTCATTGGTAGAAGAATACTACTGGTATTGTTTCTTTTCAGTATGATATACTTGTTGTATTTTATCATTCAGTTGGTATAGTTATTTACATCTATCCAATACTATTTTTTTTCAGGTCTAGTTGTAGGTACTTGTATGCTTCGTGGAAACAATATGTCTATGTTGAATCTATGGATAGATAGGCTAAGAAAAGAAATATCACAATTGTCGAATGTGGAAATAATCTTTGATATTAATCATAGCCAATCAGTACCTATTACTGCTGAAGATAATGCAATTGAGATCGAACGCTAACTAATATGTTCACTCCGCTTTTTAAATAATACAATGTTAAATTTTATCAAAACTGCATATGTCACTATACGAGCTGTAGCATTGGAGACGATATCGTTTCCTACAATTTTTGAATGCTCATCGTTACCCTGTTGTCATCGGTACTGATAGGAGAATTTATTATATAGTCATTTATAATTTTAACCTTTACAATTATTCGGGTATTAGTATAGGTTTTGCTCGATAAATAGAATCAAATTTTTTGAAGACGCAAATCTTGAAAGATAATCAATCATGAAATAAACTATCTAATTGTTTCATCATCGATGATCACATAATATTACAAAGAGGTTAACCACATCCATTAAAAAATGTTTTTAAGCAAATACGCTCGTCCAATCAAAATCGTATCTTAACAATGTAGAAATTATATTATTTATATAATTCTGTTAATAATTCTAAATTATCAAACGTGATCGTTAAGAAGTTATTAACGGTCGGATAATTTCCCTGATGGCTAACGCAGTTGGTGATTCTGAGTACAATTCAGTGAAAGATTTCCCATCTTCTATCGACATCGTCAATTTCGGATCAAGTGGTAAGCAACCTACAGTATGTCGAGCAATTGTATACAATCAGTAATAGATTACAAAGTATCATTAATACAATAATCTTCAGGAACTCCCTCATCACCTAGAAATGGTACTTGCGTAAGTTGGGCTAGTGCTTCACCTCCGCCTTTAGAGAATATATTAGTGCATTCCTACACAATAAAGACACAAAAATTAACAGATGACATAATTAAGTTGGAAGTAGCATTACATCCGTACAATTGTTCAAATTAGTAATTTATATTGCTTCCTATCGAGTATTTAACATTGCTGTACGCACCGAACAATTAGGGCAGGTATAACCACTCATATTTTCAACGATGCCAACAATAGGAATTCCAACCTTCTTACAAAAGGTTATTTCTCTTCTAACATCACCTAAAGCAACCGCCTATACGTAGCAAGTATCAATGTCTTATTGAGAAAGTACTAACCATATTAGGTAGGTTCGCTTACAAAAGTATGATAACGTATTTACTTGAGGTGTAGTGACCATTACAGCTCCAGTAAGATTTAAACCTCTGACATTTTCAGCTACTGTAATGTGTTCATCTGAAGTACCTGTAGAAGAATAGAATAACACATTAAATAGATGATACCATATTAATAGTAAATTACGCATAGTCTAAAAATTTAAAACAGAAAGTTACCTGGAGGAGTATCAATTATAAGATAGTCTAAGTCGCCCCATACCACATCGGATAAAAATTGCTTAATCATAGCTAGAGAAGCGTATTCATAACAATCTTGTTCACGATAGCAGGTAATACATAGTTTCTACTGCTAGCTATTAAACTCTAGTAAACAGCATGATGTAAATATACACTGCACAGATGATAGTAGGAATACTTGTATTTTACCATTTTTTTTAGGCCCTCTCCAAACTACAGCATCTTTGCTATTACGTAATAGAAATCCAATCGACATTACTGCCAGTTTTTCATTTTTGTCAGCATACACCGGAATCCAACTTGAAAGGGCAGAGAATAGTAAAGATGATGATTACTAAGAATACTATACACTAATGCAAACACGGTAGGATACGTGGTAGCATTGTTCATCACTAGATGCACATTACAGTATACGAGTATCGGAGTATGCTTCTAATTGCTTCTACTAACCCATCTGCACATTGATGGACATCCTTATCTTCTAATCCCAAAACTCGCGGAATGCTTGGGCCACATAGATCAACATCTAAAATTCCAACCTACAAAATTAACAGTATAGATAGAATGCTTTCGACATTCATTGCTTGCTTGTATTCGTTGATTTTATTTTACAGTATTACTAAATATATGTAAGTTATTACAGTACTAACTTCGCAGCTGCGATTGTATAGTACATATGATGTTTACAATAATAAGGACATAGAAAAAGAAAGAGTCTATGCATAGTAGATCCAATATTAATAGCCAAAATGATTTGCTTTAACACCCTATTTACATTTAAAGTATGCTGCTGTAGGCTGTAGCTGATCTACTATACTCGTGCAATAAGCATAAAGCTGCAATGCTGTATTTATCACCTAACTATTCCATTATTAGAATGCAGCAGTATAGACCGTTATACTGCATATTATTACTTTTTCGATTACTCCATTAATATAAAAATACTCATGCTATCACGTTCAATTGGTTCATTTCACATAAGATTGCATTTAATGCATATTAAGGGTATTCTACCCAACAGAGACCTTCCATGTTATACAGTAGAGTAACTACAGTGTAGCACATTTTGGGGGTCTCATTCATTTCTTGGCAAAGCATACAACTAGCAGTGCGCTAATGGCATGAAGAAATGATGCACTTTACGGTATAATGGTATATTATACCATTCATTCACTGGGATAGCATCCTTGAATGCTAGCTACGAAAAGAGATGGAATCCATTTTGAATGAATAACTCAATGTAACCGACCTTGTTTCCTCCATTTGCTAATTCCAATGCAATTTGTGACGCTACAGTACTTTTACCAACACCTCCTTTACCAGATAGAATCAAAACGACCGATTTAATCTTGCCGGTAGCTTTTTGAGCTCCTTCTATAGCCAAAATAGATTATCAACATTATTTTCCAATGCTTTAATATCCAGTTGAAAATTGCATACTTGCAAGCCTCTCTTACCTTCAGCCATTGTGCAGAAATCTTGCTGACAGTGACGCAATCACGCTATCGAATGCTATACTGCTTTACAAACCGCATTGGAGCTTCCTACCAAAATGAGTAGTTCTCGTTTTTTACAGGTGCATGACTCAGCGTATACACACTACGGTATACAGTACAGTACTATGCGCTGGTAAGTGCTACAGTATACTGCACTTAGTGTACTGTACTACTAAGTACTGTACAGTACGTACAGTACAGTATTGTACTGTACAGTACAAATGAACAGTTCAATATGGATCCACTGAAACGTACTGTACAGTACTGTACTCTTTGCTGTACTGTACTGTACTCTTTGCTGTACTGTACTGTACAGTGTACAGTGTACAGTCCCTTCTCTCCAATATTCTATAGACTGTACACTGTACAGTACACTCTGTACATACCGCGATTTTCTCCATACTAAAAGCTGTTAAAATGAAAAATTCTTGCATTAGAAAGTCCTATTTTATATGATTGCGACTCACTCATACCGGAGCTAAATTAGCTATATACAATTATCAAGACTTGAATTTCTTTGCTGTACTATAACTATGTCGAAATTAATCTTCCAATTTTTGGATCAACAAAATTTTTCCATTTCACAAGCCAGGATTGTACTTTGTATTGTAGACTACAGTACTATACACCCTACTTTACAGTGCCTTGTACTGTGAAAATTCGCCTACATTGGAAATCCTTAGCAACCAAATTTTATGTTAGCAACCAGCTTCGTTTAGTTGTGGAGTTCAACAAGGCAGACATTAATCCTATTGCCTGTTGAGATTATAAATCATAAGGGAGAAACCTATTTCAATCATGGAGATTGTCTATGTTTATACCAAGAAACGATCCGAATTTGGCAAGCAATGCCAATTCTCTGATCGACCAGCGGAATTATTGGTCGATATTCAACCCGATTCATCTTTATTAAACAATTTCGTTGAAAAAAGTCCAGTGGATACGGGGATACAAAGTGTACCTGAGATGTCTGAACATGAGGTAAACTAAACTTTAGTTATAGTTTTTATCCATGATGATCAAAAATAACTTTTGATTTAGCTGAGTCGATATTAAAATACACTATTGCTTTATTAAAAGGTTAATACTGAAAGATTCGAAACAGAAAATAGAGGGGTAAATCATGTCGAAGGAGGTTGGCCAAAAGATATTAACCCTCAAGAAGTGGAGCAGACTATTCGATATAGGAAGAAAGTGGAAAAAGATGAAGCATATGTACAAACAATTCAACAGCTCGGAAGTGTACGTTAATAATCACGTACAATCGTAACAGTATTCGGTTTCAACGACCCAAATTATAATTTTACATTAATCTATTGGAAAATTACCACTATCGCTATTTTAGATATCACGATACCGAACTCATCCTAGTGATAGCTTGTATCGTCCATAGAAATTTAATTTATACACGCAGTACTATAGCTAATCACATTAATAGAAATACCATTGATCTATTAAAGTTTTAAATCTATCTTAAAAATAGAAAATTTCACATCCTGTTAAACTGTAAATATATTTTATAGCTTTTGCCTAAATGTAATATTTTATAATACAGGTGATGGAGCATTGCATTAAGCAAAATAACGCTGTTGATATCTATGAGGAATATTTTGCGGAAGCCGATATTGATTCTTCAAGTCAATCACCTTTCGCCAAAACGGTCAATGTTTTCAGGTTGGTATCCGTATAAGTATTCAGTGCTTTTATGATATCTACAGTGCTAATTATAATAAATAAATTAACAAATCTCATATATTCCCATGTCTCATATTCTTAACCGTAACATTGTTTTACTAGAGATCCTAATGAAATTAAACGAACAGCTACACATATTTCCTGGTTCCCAGATGGTGCACGCAAACTAGCAGTTGCTTATTCCATTCTAGAATTTCAAAAAGCTTCCTCTGATACTTGTCTTGACTCTTATATATGGGACATAGGTACATAAATAGTTATATATTATCTACTAATTTATTATAATATATCATTAATATGTAAATAACTACTTAACAAATCATATATTAGAAATGTTCAATTTTTCTTAATTTTACAACTGTTACATTATTAGAAAGCCCTAATAAGCCAGACCTTACACTAAAACCCGCATCGCCTTTGGTTTGTCTTGAATATAATCCCAAGGATTCTCATATACTCGTTGGAGGTTGTTACAATGGGCAAGTTGGTAAGTGCAATCTCTCAATATCGTTCGTCCATCTAGAACCTCTTAGGTTACACAAAATACCCAAAAAATTCAAAATTGCTCCCTCTAATATTTATTTGTATTTGCCCTTGATTATCTAGCATTTTGGGATACAAGAAAAGGTTCGCAACCTGTCGAAGTATCTCCTATCGAACACAGTCATCGAGATCCGGTTTATAAGACGATCTTTCTTCAATCTAAAACAGGTGAATATGCAATATTAATCATTAGATTTGAAGTTATTAAAGAATGGGAGTTTAATAAATAAAATTATTTTTTAAAGGAACTGAGTGCTTTTCAACGTCTACTGATGGATATGTATTATGGTGGGATATTCGTAAGATCGGTGAACCGACAGAAACAATGAAATTAGATGTATCTAAAGTTGGTAGAAAAGTACTTGGTGGCGTGGCATTGGAATATGAGCCAACAATTGTAAGTAGCAATTCTTTATAACTTGAATATGACTCCCCAGTATATTTTGAATGGAATTATTACTTAAACTATTGGGAATCTTAACGCCCGTTTAGATTATTTAACTCCTATCTGACATTCTAATTCTTGATAGCCAACGAAATTTATGGTTGGAACAGAACAAGGCTATGTTCTTGCATGTAATCGTAAAGCAAAATCGTCCACGGAAAAGATCGTAGCAGTGTATAATAGCCATCACGGCCCAGTCTATTCGTTACAACGTAATCCATTCTTTCCCAAAAATTTCTTGACCATTGGCGATTGGACTGCTAGGGTTAGCACACAAAAAATTGCACTATCGTGCCCATTTACTAATATTTTCTTGTAATAGCTTATAGTAAAGTCAATATATTGTTTTATAGATTTGGTCAGAAGATTTGCGTGAATCTTCTATCATGTGGTCAAAGTAAGTGTTTGAAGGCTATTTTACTTAAAATTTCTTAAATGTGCAGACGATAAATTTAAATATCTCATTATATAAACCTAAAATTACAGATATCATATGTCATACTTAACTGACGGTTGTTGGAGTCCAGTGCGCCCCGCAGTTTTCTTTACTACTAGAATGGATGGTACCCTAGATGTATGGGATTATTTATTTAAGCAGAATGATCCCACTCTGAGTCTACAGGTATATCATAAGACATCATTTAAGATATTAAAGGATAATTGTTTATTATTCATTATTAATACCCACAAATTTGATTATAAATTAATTAATAGGTTTGTGATGAAGCTCTATTATCTTTGCGCATACAAGACCATGGTCGATTAGTGGCGTGTGGATCACACAGTGGTACGACAACATTGCTAGAATTATCGGAAGGATTGTGCACATTGCAAAGAAATGAAAAGGCGTCCGTAGGAGCTGTAAGTTATATAAATCAGTAAAAGCTATTTATGAATTAAACTGTAGACAGTTGTATTCAACTTGACATCAATATTTCTCACTGATATAATTTGATAGATGTTTGAACGCGAGACCAAGCGAGAAAAAATATTAGAGGCTCGTTATCGCGAGATGAGGATTAGGAGTAAAATGAAGGAAAAGTGAGTTTTGAAATCTTATGTTATCATACTACACATTAATGGATCACTTTTTATTATTAAGTTGAGATATCATAGTACATAAAAATAATTATGAGGATATATTGCATACAGCTTCTTGTTAACAGTATAGATGTTTTACTCTATTTGAATAAGTAAGATTGATTACAATTATATTAAAATGTATTTAAAAATTCATAGTTCAAAAGAGGAACCGAATCAAAGAGAAGAAGAAGAAGATTTGGTGACTGTTGCAGAGGAAGCTTTCCATCAAATTATCGAATCTGAGAAGAATGCAAAAGATACTCGAGATAAGAAGCTCCTTGAACGGACACAACCCCAATCGAAGTTAGACTCAAATGGCTTTACTGGAGAAAGCCGAGGTAAACAAATCAACGTTGTAATAAATGAAGAGGATTCTCATATGAGATGTGTAATTTTACGACGATATAACAACATTTTGTAACAATAATTTTAAGTTATTCTTATCGTAGTTATATTTACAGACGAGAGTAGCATAATGCGATTAGCATATTTTATCAGTACTGTACATAAACCGGTTATACATATTATTTAAAGATGTAAATTAATTTTTACATTATCTATTCATGTATTGACTGACTGATAAATAATGCTATCATTTTATGTATTCATTAGCTGTCGTAGATCAGCCAACTGAAGAATTTGAGCGTATCGGAGAAGCTAGAGAAGATGTTGTCCATGAAGAAGAATCTATTAAATATGATAATGATGAGAATACTAACGACTTAGAGGCTCAAGCAGCCGCAGAATATGAGGAGGAAGTTCTAGAGGATGAACCATTAGAAGATTAATTCTCAAACGCTGACTAAGTAACTAACGGCAATTGAATATGTATTGATTACGTTGATTTGCAATTGTATTTACTACTTTAATTGAAAACATCAAGTACGATTTGACCAAATCATTATAGATATTTATACTAAAATTGGTATACAGTCTTTGGTAAACTTACTAATTTCATCCTTGTAATCATTCAAAATTTTACTAATGTTGATTTTGTTATACGCGTCCATAATATGACGTAATCTTTCTATACGTTAAAGAGTAAGCAGACAATGTACTATATAGAAGTAGATAATTCGACTATACCTGAACGATAACGTATAAACTTAACTAATTTCATTACGATGAATTACGTTTCCTATCGTGCCAAAGGTATATTATCGTATGCTTAAAACGGTGGTTCTTAATGTGCTACAATAGGTTATGCTAATTTTACTTCTTAAAGATTATTTCAATTAAGGAATACATCCAGGGAGTGAAGAAAAACTCCATAGTTGCATCGTCTCTAGAATATTGTCTATTAATTTTTTGAGGCTTATTTCCATAACGGCAATGTACAAAATATTAGAAATGATCGTGACCGATTTTTTTTTTATCGTATCAACGAGCGTTCAAACAAAAATAAAAGGATATCATATTCAATTAATTTAACCGATATGATATGATTGAGTGGGTACGTTTAGTAAGAGAATGAAATTATATAGCTGAGAAGTGGTGGCGGTTATAATAATGACATGATATACGTATAATTGTAAATAGTTCCCTAGCCCAACGCAAACTGTTTTGTTTTAGTTACCATAAGTTGGCGTTACGTTGTTGCTAGAATACTTAATCCTTAATCTCAGTAATCAATGTACAGTATATACTAATTAGAGTAGCATCTTATTCAGGTTAAATAAAGTTCATGGTAAACATTCTAAAATCGATAACCCACAAATGTTTATTCGTTCCCGATAGCTTAGCTTCCATTTTTAGATCTAACCAATGTAACAACGCGATTTGTGTAAAGTACTAACAGTCACTTGTTATAAAAACTACAAAATATAATGTACATACACTGCCAATTAATCACATATTGCAAGTTAGTTTTGCCTGGTTCAGAATGATACTGAAATCTCCAATAGTTCTTAATACGTTTGTGTAGGAAAGAGCTATTAAGTTAGTTATCTTTTAAGATTACATGCAACGGCAGGGCTACTTCTGACAGAGATACGAACCGCTAGTTGCCTTATTATTAATCAGAGTTTACTTAAATAAAAGTTAATCCAACACGCATATCATTGGCATTTACTTTTGATTCATCTCATAATCAAGTATTGTCTTAAAAATGTATATTGAAAAGAGATAGTTTATAAAAGTAAATTTTGGTACCACCTTATAACAAGCGTTGTCATTTCAAGTACATCATACCCATACAGCTAAAATTCTCCCGGTAAAAATAAGGGACATATCAATGCTTTTACTGAATTTAAGTCAAATTTTTAGATTTCTGCATTTAAAACGTCATATATGTATTAGTAAAAATGATATATTTCGCCTACTTTAAGTAGGAGCCAAGACACAATCATTAATATTTAGATTTTTTCCTTACTCTTCGTAAAACAAATTTGCAATTTATAGTTGTTTATAACACCTATGGCCTTATTTGTTTCCTCATCCAGTAATAAAATTGGAGTGATTAACAATGTGATTATCGAAATCACTTTCTATAACAATTTGACCGCAGTTTGGACAAGGCAAACAACTACAAATCGAATCGAGATCTATACCGTCTTCTTCTTTTACAGCACGCCATATTTTCTTTCGAGATTTTATATGATCTATAGAATCGCACCAAACTTTGAAAAGATCGTTTTGCTGTTTTATGTCCGGCATAAGTGCAACCATTTCAGGTAAAATTTGATAGAAATAATTCCCGAATAGCTCGTGACAATGAGTGTAAAATTTAGCGGTAGAGATATTGCTCTTCCGATAATCTGCAGACATTCTCTTAAAATCGTTTAATTTTTGATTTGACTTTAAATTTTTAGAAATCAAGCTTAATAAATCAGTTCCTCTTTTCTTGGCATCGATTGGGGGCGCATATTTCATATCTTCTTTTACGTTGCTAACGGAAGAATTGGCCATGAGTCCTGTTATCTTACTAATATTTGAATCGGTTACGTTAGAAATGTCAAGACCTGGAGGAGGTTTTATAACTTTCTTAACATTATTTTTCATTGCTTGATTATCAGACGCTCTTAGTAAGTCGTTCATAAATGCATCATCCCCTATTTCTGCGCTTAAGCTGTTATCTTGGTGTAATAAAGCTACACCAATGCCGGGAGGGGGGCGTACCGATGCTGCGGTATCTAGTGTCTGCTGAATTGACTTTGCATCAACACTGGACTTCGACGAATCATTTGAAGGCACCTTCCACTGTGATTTCTGGGCTTTGACTTTCTGCTCTTTATCCAGCCAAGCATATTTGACTTTATCCTTTTGCGGCAGTCCTGGGAAGTCTTCCGTAGAAAAATTAGCTGATGCTGTATCGGAGCATGATTGGGCAGACGAGGTACTTATTCCCTTAGTCGTCTTTCCGGCTGATAAATAATCATAATTGTCTTGATATTTAGGTCTATCTATGGCGGGTGCTATTCCTGTATATTCACTGTGAGACTCGTGGCGAAAAAAAGGATCCGGAGGCTTTTGACTAAGCGGCAGAGAAGGGAAATCTTCTTCTGATGCTGTTGTTACTGAACTATTTGTAGGGTGTACGAAACTTTTATTCACGTACTTTTCCTCATTCTTCGTGGAAGCCTTTCCTTTTTGATTGTGGTTACTAATACAATTGTCAGCGCTATTCGACATTGAATTCGATTTCTTCTTTCCTTTACTCTTTGATGCTTTTTTCGAATTAGTAAGGGCTTTCGAACCCGTTAGAGCATTGCTAGATTCTTTTTGGTCATACTTGGATGAATTACTAATGTTACGATCAGCAGAATTAGGTATCGACGACTTTCCCCATGATGACTTGGTTGCGTTAGGCTTATTGAAGTCATTCATAAAATTAGGGTTTTTAACAGCTGTTTTAGTTGGTAAAGATGGAAAATCTTCTAACAATTTGCCCACCTTTTGTGGTACATTTTTCTTCACTTCGTGGCCCAAATTTTGATTCTGTTTAGGCGCTGCTTTATGGTCATATGTTAAAGATTTCCAATTGGATGAAGATGCGTTTTGTCGATGTAAACCAGTACGATTTCCAGTCGATGAGGTAGTAGTAAGGGATGGAAAGTCTTCTTCTGATACCAATGAGTTTCCAATATTAACGGCTTTTTGATAAGCAGTCTTTTGTTGAGTTGTACGTTGTGGCACAGATCGATTATGGTTTCGGTCTATGCGAGATTCCTTGACAGCAGAAGTATAATTGGTACCGGCTCCTGAATGATCAGTAAGAAAACCAGAATTTTTTGATACTTTATTAAACAAAGATGGAAATTCATCTTCGTAATCTCCTGTAAGTGAGACAGCTTCCTGGCTATCCTTTGTCTCTTCCCTTACAAAATCATCATCGGTAACCTGTGATCTGTATAATAATAATAAGTATATATCAGCATTGCTAGTCTTTAGCGTAATCAGTAAAATAATACAAAGTGCTTATAGAAAGCGAAAAGATGATATACAGAATGAGGAAATATTCTTACCTATCATAAGTGTCGCCTCTGCGATTTTTACCAGTTGTCCTACTATCATTGCTTCTGGAGTACGTTAAATCGATATCGATATGCCTAATTCTGCGTTCTTCTGCACGATTTAAAAGATGTTTATGCTTCAGAGCCAAATGTGCTTTATAATCGATATCAGTAGAGAATGCGTTAACAAATTTTTCATCTGCACAAGCGTCATATTCACATAAAAAATGGTTGCTTTTAAAGTGCGCCCTTAAAGACTCATAATTGTCATAGTATTCATCAGCTGGGCAAAAATGACAACTAAAATGATCGTTGTGCAAGTGAAGATAAAGATCATCATCGTCAAAGTAATGCTTTTTACAAAATTTACATACAGGATGTCCTTTGTAAGATTTATTATCACTATCGCCTCTTTTCAAATGGATATTTAAATCTGGTTTGCTATACGGTCGCCGTTCATGTGTAAATAGTTTTAGGTGTTTAATGCAAAGGTAACAGAAGTATCTTTTATGTGTATCTTTCATATGGCCTAGAAAGTTGTTAAAATTCTTAAAGGTTGGTTTTGTAATACATATTTGACAACGATGAACCAGGAGTTGTTGACATAAATATAAACTCTCTGATGATACAAAGTACAATCCTGGTAGTGTTTTACACTGGTGCATCGAATTGATATCCAATTCTTCAAAAGGTTGGACTCTGTCTGTATATACCACCTTATGATGACGTAAGATTTAAAAGTAGTATGATTAGACACTCTAAATATACTATACTGTATATATGAATTAAAACACTGCATAATACAGTACGTAGATATTTCAAATCTTGAACTATGGCAAAATAGTTCTCTAAATACTAAGGTAATATCTGGTGGACGGACATAGTAATCCAGTATTTGCTTTTCAGCAAGCATGGCTGATAAGTTAAAGCTAGCATGAGTAATGAAAAAATACTATAGAAATTAATGCATCTCAACTTCTTATGCTTGATTTTTACGTTAGTGCATACAGTATTCCATTTTAATTTGTTCATGTAATTACTGTATATAGTATTGTACGAATTCGGAGATTAATGCCAGAGAGTAGCTTATCTAATTTATTCTCGTAGAATATTTTGTTAGCTTCTACGTACAAACCTTTTCCAAGCATGATCTGCAAACAGGGCAATAATTATCTTGACATAGTATCCTTAATTTAGTCATACATTTATAACAGACAGGATGATTGCATGAACCAAAGCATTCAATTTCGCATGGATGACAACAAAGAACACAGGTACGCTTAATAACACCTTGATCCTGCAATGTTTGCAAACAAGCAGCCATTGCAATCTCTATTCCTGAAATTATAAAATTGATACAACCAATAGGGTTAATATGGTAATGACCATCGCAGTTTGTAATGCTAAGACAAGTTGTAAATAAGATTTTAATTTTCTCTGGCTGGGATTCTATCAATATTGTCGCTGTAGGTTCTCTATCTTTATGTTTTCAACCTTTGACGGCTAGTTTGTTCTTCAGCTAGGTAACGGCAATCTACTAATGCACGATCGCTAATTACTACTGCAACCACAATGAATCGCTCTGTTATGAGAGCTATCAAAGATTTTATGATATTACTGATCATCTATGGTATAACTGTATCATGTGGTTACAATACTGATGTAAAAATGAATCACTTTTTTAAAAATAAGTAGCCCGTTGTTGAGTGGCTGGTAACTAATTGCAATCATGGGTAAAATTGTCTGATTTGATGAATTCGGTCTCCATGTGACAGACTCACCGGCCCCCTCTTACCAAATCGATCTCCGTCTTGCGGTCTACTGCTACCCTATCATGGGCGTTTCATCGACTACAACTGTATTATTGCATGTATGACTTTCTTTGTCATTTTCACACGCTTAGTTTACTGACTGAAATAGAACTGTATAGCGATGAATGGAAGTAGAATTTCAGAAAACTAACACGGATAGTAAGATAGTAAGCCTAGCCATTGTGCAGATGCAAACGTTGACAGTGTACGCATACAGTATATTAGTGCACCATGAGTTGATTTGAACTGGGAATGAGTTGTTGGGCCCAATTGGTTTGTGATTGGAACTTTATTTTATAGCGAAAAATGTGGATAGGTGATCCAATGTTAGTTTATAGCAGGTTGTAGTTTGAGCCTAATGGATGCTAAATCATCATGGCGGTAACTGAATTATTATTGGTTTTACAAGGCTAAGCTAAGACAACCGATAAGGAAATGAAAATATGTTTCATTGCTACCTAGGATGGCATCAATGATGTAAGGCAGTCCTCCGTCGCAATGAATAAATGAAGTCAAGAAGTTAGCATGACAGAGAATTCAATAAAAGAAACTGCAAAATACAATCGAATTTTCTAGCCACAGCAGTATACTACCATGATCCGGTTAGAATATCAATATCTTACCTCAATGAATTGAAAATTGGATGGAGTATTCCGGTTTCCAATGGCCAAAAATGCTGATGATTGCAGTTTTGGCCAATTTGGGTTTTAAAGTTAGGGTCGCAAGAATGGGAAAAACGTCTACACCTACAATACGGTACGGTACAGTACGGTACAGTAGGGTACTAAATATACTGTAGACTTGATCTACAGTACTGTACTGTAGTTTGGGCCTGATTGAGCTTCTACAATTAGTACTGTAAGTAAAGCATCGTACAGTGTACAGTCTGTACTCACCATACTGTACTGTACTGTACAATTGATTTAGTTTGGGCCTGATTTAGCTTATACAATTGTATGTTTTCAGGGTGCTTGAAAACGTCTACTCCTACAGTACTGTACTGTACTGTACTAAATAGACAATTGATCTAATTTAGGTCTGATTTAGCCTATACAATTCTATATTTTCAGGGTGCCATCCAAAATAATCACACTCAGACTGGTTCCGAGCCGCACCGAACCGAAGACAGGTCTCCACTCAGTACACGTGGACGGTAGACTACTGTACGATGTACTGTACTTTACAGTACACTGTATTGTAGCCAACAGGACAGTACTACAGTGTACAGTACCTTATTCTACAGTACTATGTATCGTTTAGCATACTGTACTGTACTGTACTGTACACTATACTGGAGCACTTGAAACTTGGATCGCTTCACTGAACGTCAGTGAAACAAGTTGTTGATTGCCCGACCATTCCTCTGCTTACCTTCTACCTGGATGTTTCTTCCACCAACACGTCTGAATATGAGACTTGCTCTTATAACGAGATTGGCTTCATGGGTAAGACAAAGATGCAGCGCCTTATTGCAATAGATTAAAGCAATAAATGAGCGTTGAATGACTGTCGTAGCGTGTTATGTGTATCATATGATGACATCAACAATGTCTTGATTAGCCTTACTGCAACTTCAGTTTCGCTTTGTTAGCTTGGATTCTATTATTGACATGCAGTAGTCGATGAGCACCAATACAAAGTAAAATGGACTCTCTATACTGTACACCAAGTTTAGGAGATCAACAGATTGATTGGGTGTCCAACATTTGCAATAGTCCATCATACTCATGAATCATGCACAGTTACAGGCTTTAATGACAAGGTTATTCACGGTACGTAGGACAAGAGTTTTCATTAGTGTACATCATTCAACAACTGTGATCGTACAAATGCACAGAATGTATATATATGCAGATGGAAGTTGCTCATGTCACCACAGTATGATCAAACCAGTCGTCTTAATACTCCTAATTCATACATAGAATAGATTGTTGGTAGAGTGAGGCAATTCGTTGAATGTAGGATGCGTTCTGTATGTCTGCCCTACTTTATTCATGCGATATGATGTCGCTTTTCATGCAGCATTTCTCTCATTTTTATGAATGACTCGCAATTGACTCCATGGCAACCAGGAGTAGAATCGGATCGATCATGTAATTGAGTTCGATCGTTAAGGAAAGACATTATTTTCAATTTGAAGATTAAAGTCAATTGCAGTCTACTCGTATTGTAAACATCTTATTTCCAAATGATTGAACTAAGCTGATCCCAATCGATCGATAGACAGACGTTATAAACACGGCGGTGCCATATGATATCAGCGATGTACAGTACGTTGCAATATAACCATTATACTGTACATGTGGAATGCAAGCTTGCTACAATATACGACGTTCAATTATGCCAGACGATTAAGGAAGTCAATAATGATGAGGATTATGGTTATGTCATGGAAAGTGGAACATCGAGTGGTGGACCACATCACTTCACATTGGAGAAAATACATATAAGACAAAGCATACCTTAAAATGATTCTAATTATCGATCCGACAATAGCCTAAGAAAATGACACAATAGGTGATACAGTAAAGCTGACTTAATACGTCGATGTAAACTGTCTATTTGTGGAATTAAATAATAAGAACTTTATGATGTAGTATAGTATATTGCTGTATATTGTGGAAAATGCCATATCATGGTACTCCTAAAATGATGATGGATTAGACTGTAGCTTGCTTGAAAAATGCATGGCAGGTAATACAGTACAGTAGAATTTGCTTACTTATCTAAATTCGACATCTAGCTGACAAATATCAACGTCATGATGCACTACTTCATAAATAGTGAAAAGTGTGGTGTGATACTTGAAAATCTTTTCATCAATAGCTGTAGTTGTAGCAGTCCAGCATTCAAATTAGCATCAACCATGCAAAAATACTCCTAGTTAAAACTTTTGCTACCTCTTCATACGGATTGATTCAATTGCAATAGCTTGATAATATCTTTACGTTTAAAATGCCTTACTGAAAATACGCGTATATTGCATAATGCTTTCTATGATTCATAAATGCCATTAAAATAATTGATTTCAAATTTTACCCAATGCTGTAGAAATCGAATAGCAGATAATCATGTACTTTATAACATTGCGATATTGTACAGTGGCATGATTTATAATTTATTAAACTTAACTTAATAGGAAAAAATTGATCAACATAAGGCGTTTGATATTGTTCATCTAAATGAATAATTTTTTGTCTTAATTTGGCAGCTCTTCTCCATGATCGTCTTCGCTATTATGGCTTCTCGAATCGATCGTCATTATTGCCCTATGAATGACTACCAAGCTTGCAATGTCGGTTTAGCGTTTGGCGTAATTACATTCCTCATCGCTATGATATTCATTTACTATGACTTTAATATTGATGGAAAACAGGATGCTAACATCAAAAGAAAATTTGTTATCTGCGATTTTCTGATTTCCCTACTTTTATCATTATTATGGTTTGCTATATTTTTATACTTGGCTATCGTTAATCGGCCGTATTATCCAGATACCAGTGCCGCTGTTGCCTTTTCTTTTTTCTCCATACTATCATGGGTATGTTCACATAAAGTAGATTCTGTATTTTGTATATAAATTTAAATCTATTTGCCTTTTACATTTTTCTTTGTAGTGATTAAACTTTTTCTTAGGCATTCAGGCACATTCTAATCTAGTAGTATGATGCTACTCAAGAATGATTGAATTTGAATATACTAAAACTCTCTCTTTTTTCTCTTCTACGATAGAATTGCACCTGTTGAATGATATTCATTAACTATAACTTAATTTTATTTAATAGAGCTTGCAGACATACCTTGCATATCAATCATCGTCTCAGGCTGACTTTCACTATTATTCGGAGATGATATTTGACAGAAATTCGAAACATGACTACTCACCCGTTGCTGTCCAAATTGGCAATTCATCAACAAAACAAGAACCCTTTACTGGAACTCATGATAATTATTTGTCATCTCACAGTTCTTCGTATTAATCGAGCTTGTTATAATTATTAAAAACATTGAAATCTGCAAAATATAACAATGTACGCATTTAACAACTTAATTTATAGATTCAATTGTAAACATGCTATCCCTATAACTAAAATTGCCGACAAATCAGCATACAATATCGGTTCAACTATATTACTTGTAGGCAGTAAAAAAATGCTTGATAACAGACTTGTATGATTTATATCGATTGAAGTAAGTGCTTGATCATTGAAATTTTATTGTTTACATTTGGAGGAGCTTCTTAAGTAATGTAATTATAGCAAATCTTTACTTGTCTGCGGTAAATACCTTATTAGAAGAGCTATAGATGCTGAGTGCATTCAATTATTTCATCTTAGGTAATTAAGACCACACCAGGCATTAATTAATAATGCATGAAGATAATAATTGCTTACTACTGCTTATTACAAAACTTTACGTGGAGCATTTACATTAAAATGCGCCCAATTCTAATATTGTCCAGCTGTAAAAGATATACATGACTTACTTCCGTTGTCGCATGACAGGAGCTTCATTGTTTGTTACTCGTACAGTTAAGAGAAATAACTTGGATAATGGTGCTTTTAGCTTAACAAATTTATTCGTAATATCTAATCAGATATTTTAAATGACTTGGTAAGTTCCATTTAATGGATTATAGTACCGATTTTTTGAGCGTGCCATCTTTCAACTACGTTAGAACTTAAAGAAGAACTAACTGTTAAATAACATACTATTTGAAAGATTCTTTACAGAATCTTATCTACGCTAGAATGAATATAAGGCGGAGCTGAAGTCGTATCGCCTTAAGTTAAATGATTTTTCAATGAAGGATTCTCAGCATGTTAAAAACTTATTGAAAGAGAATTGAAGACAGTATATCTTCAATAATTATTCCATTTGATACCAGTGATTCCGGATAGATAGCGAAATATACATAATACAGTATATCATATTTAGAAAAATTCTGTACGATTTTATAAATTCGATTAATCAAAGCAGAATCGAAAGTTCTTTTGCAAAACCTTGCTAAAAAGCTAATTGAGTCACCGGGAAGTAAATTGAAGAAGTTCAATGAGAGTTCTATCGTGTTGTAATGGCAAACCTGGACCAATTCGAAAATAAGACAAGTTTTCTAATTGTATACGGAATTAAAATGTTTTTATTGAGCAAATTCTATACAGCTCTTTTAACTGTCCAATTTACAGCGTAAATCAGTGAGCTAACCAACTACTAGTTAAGATTTATTAATATTAATCTTAAAGCAAGAACTACATAGAAATTTATACCAGCTCACTATAGGCAAGACTTGAAATACAAATCATCTATAAACTTAATAGTTTGGCGGAATATAAGGAGGAGGCATATCTGCTTTTTTTTCTTCTGTAACTGGCTCTTGTGGAGTAAAAGGCTCTTGATAAGTTTGTGAAGGGGTCTGCTGCGATGGGACTTGGCTAGATGTACCTACATTTGGATAGTCATAGCCTGGTTGCGCCTGTTGCTGTTGTGTATTTGGATTTTCAGCATTTCGATATTGTTGAACACCGAAATAAATTAATGCACCCTATAAAGAGAAAAACAGCGTAACGATAAGGTATCTATTTCTAATAAGAATATACTCCTAAAGCATTATATTATAGAATCAATAGTACATAAAAAAAGAAGAATTTATTCGTAGTAGATAGTACAACTAAGTTGTAAGATTTAATCAAATTACGACTTTCACATTGATTTAAAAAAACAACCATCTTACCCAAGTAAGTACTGAAAAAAAGGTAAATGCAAGAGCCGAGTTAACATTCGTAACGACGCCAGGGACAGCGCTAAAAGGAGCCTTGGGCGCTATGGACCATTTGTTGGTCATATAACAGAATCCTATGAACCAGAGTAACGTCCACAGACTCGTAAAAGCTAAATCTGCAATTACTATACGCTTTTTAGTTGTTAAATCGATAATACGATCAACAAATGCGTCCAAAAAGAGGAATACCATCAGGCCCAAAAATGCAATTACACCAATAGCAATTCCATAGTTGCAAGCATTATTATCGCCATTTAAAGGACAAAAACCTCTAAATTCGCTACGGGCTGACGTTAGGCAACCAAAAACAATAATAGCGAATACCTAACAAGCAGGATAACAAATAAGATGAGAATAATGCACTTATTGGTAGATGAATATTTAATTACATTTCAAACTTTGCGGTGCTCATATGTTATCTACAATGTGTACAGCATCATTTTAGAACGCGTTCAATTACAGTACGTCGAATTTTACTTATGCGAAGGTTAGAGTAGTTTAGTAATTCAGGTAAATCAGCTACGATTCTTTATTGATCGTTGCAGAGCAATCAATATCATATACGTTCAAACTCATCCATTCATTTTATTGAGAGACAAATCTTCTAACGTAATTATAAATATTTTAGGTCTGTACTAAATATCGCGCCAATGTGCACTTTATGAATCTATTCGTACAGTATTCCTGAGGACTGTCATCGATCGTTAGTGAGGCCGGCAAGTTGAAATGCATTGCATGTCTAATAAAACTTTTCAATTCTGCTTTCAGTCTTTTATTACTTTCTGACTGTAGTAAAGTATCACAAATAGTAAAAACATGGCGCCGTTTTGAGTCTATACTGAAGGTAAATAGCAAAAATTGCATGACTGTAGTAGCCTACAATTTGGAGATATTCAATACCTTTTTAAATCACTCTTGATTTATTACCCAACTTGATCTACATTTTAACATCAATTTCCTTAGTACAGTAATAGCATTATTTGCACAGCTCGGTAGACTTTTAGTTTACCTAAAAGCTCAAGAGAGCGAGCACTAGTCCTTTAGGTACACCACAATGCGTAAGTTTGATAATAAAGCAAGAAACGAATTGTGATTCAATGTATACCGTACAGTAATTTATCTGCTTGTAAGCGATTCATTTAATTGGTTGATCGTACTAAGTTGCGTATGTACATTAGCTAAGGGAAGTTTTATTTTGCATTGAACATGAGGCCTTCATTGACTATGAGTATCATTAATGCTGGTAGTTCGTGAATTTCAATCAGGGCTTGCCTAAATTAAAATATTTTATTAAATTCATTAATAACATTGTTTTACCCTGGTGACTAACGTATTAACTATGATGAAGTAAGTCGCAAAACTACAAATGATGGCTGATTGAAAACATGCTAAGTTAACATTTATAATCGTTCAACATAGTCAATCAATCCATTACGGCGAAATAGTGTAGTCGATCATGCTATGTTAATTTTGGAAGATAAAGTTGTTTGCGAAAAAATTGCGATTAAAGTAACGACGATGACAGTACAGTACAGTATACTATAGGTTTGCATCATGAATCAACAGCACCAGGTTGATTCCTTTCGATTTTCCTTCAAGACATTGTGTAAATAATGCAAGTAGCGTAGAATATGGCTTAAGAGTAAGGAAAAACAACATTGTATCTTCCCTTACTCTTCTATTCCTACAGCTGCATCTCTCTACAAGTTAGTTGTGCAGTCTATTGCTAGTGCAATACTGTAGTCCTATCTATCATTGCAATCTTTTGGGATTGTTAATTCATCCATGAAGGCAGTGTCCATATCTACAGTTTATCAGTTGATTCTTCTTCATTAGGCTAGTAAATTAATGACTACAATTTCTTTTAGGCGATAATACAAGTGGATAAGGCGTCTGCAGACAGTGAATATCATCATCCAAGGTAGAGGCAATGCTTGTACGTTTTGTATTGTAGTCCAATTAATGATAGCGTAGAATAAAATTAGAGCATTCTACAAGTTGAAAGCATGCATGATTGCAAATCACATCATCATCAATCACATGGCCAGATTGGTTTTTATGCTATTCAATTTGTCCATATCTATTGATACTGTATACTCACCCAAGATGCAAATCGTAGAATGACCTGCGGCTTTAGCACATAGTTTCTAATATTAAATGAGCCCGATGATAATGCAAAGAATGATGATAACATTGCTAGCTGTACGATTTGAAGAAGCCAATCTAGGCAAGAAAATCAAATGTTCAAAATGGAGGCTGGCAGTTCAATGGTGGCGAGTTTGGGACAGACGCTTCACTCACTATTTCACGTCGCTTGCATAGCACTCAGTCGACAACTCCAACTCCTTATTATACAGTACTGTACACTGTACAGTACAATACAGTACTGTACAAAGCGGACTGGAATCCTGTATGGTACCGTACTAAAACTACAGTGCAGTGCTGTACTGTACAGTACTGTACTGTACTGTACGTACTGTATGCTTCTCCATTCAACGGTGACATCATCGTTTCAAGTCGATAATCCCATACAGCCATACAGACAGTATGACTTAGTATGACCGATACGGAAAATTACGTCATCGTCATCCTGTATCAGCTTCTGTCTGTCTGAACCGAGGTCTCAGCCCTGGGGCGGTAATGCCGGTATACTGTACAGTGTACACTACTATAGAAGGCTGATTTTTTTTTGTTTTTATTTGCCATCGAATAGTATACACTATACTGCACAGCATTGAACCAGTACTGAATCAAACTACAAGATGCTGCAAAGCAACTGATGTTTCGTTAATAATGAAATTGAATTGAATTTCATTTCCTATTAATGAATTCGTATGCGCTGTAGAATCCCGCTGGCAAGCAACGTACAGTACAGTATGGTGCTACACAGTAGCAAAAATCAGTTCAGTCCCTCCAACTAGACCAAGTACAACTAATAATTCTGCATGGCTACGAGGGTGAGGTAATGCCCTAAATTTAGGCATTTTGCGCGTTGCCACCATTTGTTGCTGCCAATTTTAGCTTTTCACTTTTTTGCCCTTATTTGGCATTATCGCGGCCAACTTGGACTCCAATAATGATTTCATTTAATAATGAAATCATAATAATGAAATCATAAAACAATAATAAAAATGGACAATAGTGTACTGTAGACTATTGTCCATTTTTATTATTGTTGTACTGTACACTGTACAGTGCTAAGCTACGGTACTGCGCGGTATACTGTACAATGTGCAGTCCAGGACATGGACTACTAAACTACAACTACAATAGTGTACTATAGAGACCTGTGAAAATATTCTGTCTCCCGAGGAAATGCACAATACAGTACTGTACACTGTACAGTACAGTACAGTGCTAAACTACAGTACGGTACTGCGCGGTACACTGTACAGTCCAGTCCATGGACTACTAAATTACACCTACAATAGTGTACTATAAAGGCCTGTGAAAATGTTCTGTCTCACGACGAAATGCACGATACAGTACAGTACTGTGTACAGTGAAATTTTTGTGTACTGTACTGTACTATCATTTCCCGTAGCCTGCTGGCGGAAACTCATACCATACGCAACTGTACTGTATGGTAGAGATGAGATGATAACTAGCCGTTTACTACAATACTGTACTGCAATCATAAACTCTATTAGTATCATTGCCCGCAGCCTACTAGCGGTAACTCATACCTACTGTATGGTGGAGATGAGATGACAAGTAGCCGTTCACTACAAAATACAGTAATACCAAGGCATATCGTTTGATCGTTTTATTCGGTCATTTCCCACTACAGTATTCTGTATTTAAAAGGTTAAACCATCGTTTGATCGTTTTATTCGGCCATTTCCCACTACAGTACAGTATTCTCCATGCGATACCAATAAAATGTACTGTACTCTTACTGTACACTATGCACCGTACAGTACTGTACAGTACTTTGAAAGGATCAGTACAGTACTGTCATGCACTGTACACTGTGCAGTACTGTACTGTATCGTGCATTTCGTCGCGAGACAGAACATTTTCACAGGTCTCTATAGTACACTATTGTAGGTGTAGTTTAGTAGTCCATGTCCTAGACTGTACAGTGTACAGTGTAGTACACTGTACAGCGCAGTACTGTACTGTACTGTACAGTAGAAAGCCCTGTTAAGGCGAAAACCCTACTGTACAATGTACTGTAAACACGAGCACGCTCAGTACAGCACGGACAAAGTGCTTGCTGCCTTCATTGCATGATACCTGCCTCCATCATGATATTCATTAGATGTGTAGAATATTAATCCGAACGGGCAAATAAACGAGTAGTTAAAGCATGATGAGCTGGGAAACGATGCGATGTGTTGCTCAGTAATTCGAATCATTAGCAGCAACTATAGCAAATTTATTGTTCGTTTGTCTTCATCATTGTATCATTGCAAATCATCTGTAGTACCCAAGTTCATATTCAATCGATCAATAACTTGTCGATCAGGCTTTAATTCATGTCAAATGGATTCTAACAGTAGTTATAGCGACATGACAAAAATCGAAGAAGGCCAAGCTAAGATTCTGAATGATGATCAGGATGCTTTTTACAATCCTATACAAACATTCAATCGTGACATCAGGTAGGATAGCCAACTGTAGTATGAGAAGTGAATAAATTGCATGCAGTTACCCACCCCTTCAATCTCGATCTTTCCAACTCTTATTATTGCTATTCAATGTCTCTATGTTAACTGTACGTACAAATTGCAAAGATGGATATCTTGCTGTTGTCCTATCAATACGTAGGTGCATTGAAACGAGGAAGTGTTAACATCATCTTTATTGATCCCATCTTAGTATCGCGGTTATTAAACAATTTATCAAAACCTGCCAGAAAGAGGTATCAACGCAGTGTAAAGTAAGGAGGAATCTGTCTGCTGCTGTCGAGGTGAGCAAAAGTGATCTTCAGGATAGTTGTGATGATTGTTTTGTTTCTATCTTCAATTCCATTCTTATAAATTACAGTCTTCTTCATACATTGTATCGGTCTTGTAATCCAGATTTTGATGGATCAAGTGCATTAGACTAATGCTCTCGATCCAATTTTGATACTAAACAGAAATATTGTAATATTCATTCATCTTCCTATTTGCACGCCATGCAGAAGGGTTTCACTATCTTCGAGGGGTTATCTGCAACAGGACTTCGTAGTATTCGTTATGCCTTGGAATTGCCTAAAATCAAAGCAGTTATTGCCAATGATAATAATCCAAGTTCATTTAAATGCATAGAACGCAATATTGAATATAATAAAATTGGTCATGTTGTTCAACCCCATTTCGGCGATGCAAGGTATCGAATAGCAATGTTAAATAATCCTAATTTTATGGTCAAGAGGTAGCCTCTTTATAGTGTTAGAGAAGGCGATCATAATTCAATGACACACTTTTGATTGCCACTTTTACAATTGTCTTTTAGGATGATGATGTACGATAACAGTAACTCGTTAGATGATCAATTTCAGGTAGTCGACATCGATCCTTATGGCTCGCCCGCTATCTTCTTAGATGCAGCTGTACAAAGTGTTAGCGACGGAGGTAAATACTACATAATACTTTTTTTAATCAGGAATACAACAGCTATCAGTGCTATCTAATGTATTGGTGTAATGCTAAATGGACGATTAAATAAAGTAAGAATTGAAAGGGCGTGCAGTTATCGGATATGTTTACTTTCTAGGACTTCTGTGTATAACGTGTACTGACATGGCTGTGCTTTGTGGTAATCATGCCGGAAGCTGTTTTGCTAAGTATGGATCGGTCTCATTGCGAAGCAAGCACTGCCATGAAATGGTAGCACAGTAAATTGATCTAACTTCGTTCATAAATAAAAGTTCTAACTTCTTATATATACTGTACATACACTCACTTATTGAAACCCTTACAGGCTTTAAGAATTGCTCTTTCCTCGATTGAAAGTAATGCCAACAGATATGGAAGATATATCGTACCATTACTTTCTGTCAGCGTGGACTATTATATTCGTGTATTTGTTAGAGTATTTTACGGGAAAACGGAAGTTAACAGATCTGCCAGGTTAGCTGAAACTTAGTCGAGACTCTTACCCAATTGCTTTACACAAATTTTTACGATTCAAGGTTACTGCATAATGTACTAGTACAAAGTAGATACAGTGTACCCGTTTTAAAGTATTAACTAAAATGCAATAACTTTTCTTGTAGTAAGAAATCATTTGTTTTCCAATGTACATCGTGCGATAGCTTCTACTTGCAGCCGCTCGGAAGTAAGGCTGATACAGGCAATAAGTATGTTATCATGAGATAACTCGAGCTATATTTGATGCTGATTGCTCCAATTTCAGCTAACTTTCTTGATTGCCATTGATTTGTTACATTAGCCAAAACTTTCAACCTGCAAAATTCAACATGGAAAATCAAAAATGTACAGAGTGTGACTCGAAATTAAAGGTAGTTCTACAAAATTAGCTAGTGATAAAATTGAGGGCTCCTACTGTTAATTAATTACTGAAACTGTAGAACTGCAGTATGATATAAATATCTTAAGCTTTCCTAATGCAAGAATAGTGTTCAAGCAATAAATGACTACCGTACTTTGCAGCAAATTATTGAATAGCCAACCTCTGAACTGAAGCTATATGAAATAGCTATAGCATTGAAGATAATCAGAGTTGAAATGATTTATTAACTGCGTTGCGTCATTTACACCTTGAAATTAACGATACCATGTCACAAAACGCTCACAATACCGTAATTATCTTGCTTATGCTGTACAATTATTTTGAAAAGGATTATAACAAGTTCTAAGATCGCAATGAATTGCAGTCAATTTTTAAATCAATTGTATGCTAATATGGAGTGCAAGAATCTTTAAATAACTACGAAACGATTTCATTAACATTAACCTCAGTTAGGCGGCCCTATCTGGTCCGAACCGATCCATGATCTTAAATTCACGACTGAACTCTTGAAGGCGGTAGCCTCTGAACGAAACCTTTACAAAACATCGAACAGGATAATAGGCCTACTGTCCGTCATATCAGAAGTATGCAAAATTCCTTTATATTTTTGGCAATTTTTTTGCAATATTTAGCCATTATAATACGGTAACTTACATAACAAGCAAAGGTGTAATAACATTATTTTCATTACTTATAGGAAATTCCTGACCAACCGCTTTACTATGTGACAGATTCCTTAGCTAATTCTATTCATTCCGTGTGCATACCGTTCCTTAAAATAAGGTAGTTATTAAAGTTTACAGATAACCACTTTGATTCTACAGACTAAGTAATTCTAATATACAGTATTTCCTCTTATCAACCTATCTGAAGATCTGCATTACTTCAACTTGGCTACAAAGTGTCATCTACGCACGCACACAAGAGTGCTTTTAAAACTGATGCTTCGAACAGTGTTGTTTGGGATGTAATGAGATGTTGGGTTTGTTATATACAATTTATTACCAGAATACCTGGGCTACGCTGCTGCTTTATTCTTAGTTTAATATTTTAAATTCAATAGAAATTGTTATCATTTGATATTGGTCATTTACGACACAAAATAAGTGTAATACTAGGAATATAATTGCTGATTCCAATATATTTATGTAATATCTGAATATGTGTTATGCATCTAATTATAGGCTAAGAAAAACCCTGTAAGTAAAAAGAAATTACGTGGTCCTGGTGAAAAAATTCTCCAAAAGGAGCCTAGGTAGTATCTATACTCAAAGACTATAATAGATTCAGTATCCCATTTCTCGTAAGGAAGTGCTTAAAACAAGTAGCTAGCAATACCTTACTTTTAATTGTTCTATAATCTATTTATGTGTTAGCATTGAGGCTTCATTTGACATCTTGCCTGGAGCAAATCCGGAATCAAGGAAACTCGGGTTAGTTCGATACCAGGTCAATCCGGAGCCAAACTGGGGTCCAAAATCTAAAGTCAAGAAAAGGTAACAATTTGGTAAATATCATTACATCCTTACAGGGTACACTAAAATTCTTAGCTCGACATAGGATTAAGCTACATACATTCCAAATATAATACAATTTATATCATCCGGTAAACTATCAAAGCGAGGTAGAGATAAAAATATTTACCAGTCGACAAGATATGCAGTTACAAATGATGGTCTTGCTTTAGTGTAGATTAGTATCAAGTTCATTAATTAAATTCATTCTTGTTTAGAAAACACGAAGACTCCGATAGTAATAGCGACGATGGCAGAAGCAATAAGCAAGAGAAATCCATATCTAATAAGACGTCGAATGATTTATGAGCAATACCACCAAGCTTATTACACGTGTCTTGGAAAATGTTACATCCGTTCATTACCCGAAGGGGACATTAAGTCTACTGTAATATGCGATATGCATATATTATGTAAAAGCGCACCAGTTTTATCTTGCCTACCATTATTACTAAAAGCTCATTTTTGCCATACAAAATTCACAATGATGAACAAGAAATTATCATTGGCTGCATTACTATTACCCTACGGGCGTATCGTATCATTCCCATCAAATCAAGAAGAAAAATGCCAGAATTAAATCACAAAAAAAGGATCTTGGAATATATAAAAATCGCAAAGAATAATAGAATTTTCGAGTGGAGTAAATGTTATTTGAGCTAAAAATAAGATCAATACATTCGTATTTAAGATCTCTACTATGAATTTATTTAAGCCATCGTGTACAGCTTTTTACATTTGTGATAGTTGAGAAACCGTTGCTAAATATGAATCCGAGTTCTCTCTCATCTACGTAGTATGTTTATTTTTGACTACTTTAATGAATTCGCGTATTCTATTATTAGATGACAAGCACTCACTCTCAATTCCCTAACTTTATGCCGATAGCGCAAAACTAAGACTTGTTCCTTAGACATTAACAGCTATTAATCTACAGATGTTATACTGTTTTATATTCATCTACAAAAGAAAAAAATTATACTGCGCTTATTCTTTAATTTTAATACGATACATGTACGATCAGACTGTAAAAGATGAGTCAAAACTGTATGGAATGCGATATAGAAAACCGTTATTGAAATAACTTGAAGGCCACAGATCATTATCAAAACTGTGCCGTAGCCGTATTCATTAAATAGTCATAATAACAGCTTTGATGAAAATACTATTGAATGTGTAACAGTGATAATTTAAATAAATATAATCATTTTATAATAACAACTAATAAATTTAAGAATTTCAGATGGTTGGTGTTGATCTATCAAATGATTTCACAAAAACATTTTTCTTGCTCTCAAAATTTAAGAACTTGACTTAGTAGAGAATCCACTCCATATGCGATTATTAGAAGTGCAATACACTCACACTATAAGTTAAAGTTGGACAAAATAACTACATTGTCCTAAGTGTTCGATACCAGTACGATACAGTAAGACATTACATTAAATGTAAAGGTAATACAGTAACTAAACTAAGATCAACACCGGGCAATGTAAATAGATGAACCTAATTTTTGAAATGTTTTTATCATCCATTAATCATCCAAAATTTATTCTACTGAACATGAGTCTTCATTCAGCTGCTGTAGTGCGATGGATCTTAACGTGCGAGAGCAATACACTGTAGGATAGCAATATTATACTGATGCATAACTCACTGTAATTGCTTAAAATTACTACAGTGCAATATACGAAAATTTACTAGCTGTAGATAATTAAAAATGTATCAAGATTAATAACGTTATCATTGTTAAAAGTTGTAACATAAAGAATGTAAATTTGCATCACGAAAAATCAAATAATATGTTTATTGATATTACATAAATACCAATAATACTTTATCAGATGCATTACTTTCCTTATATTCTATAATACAACATGAATACTGGAATAATAATATTTTGTGATGTAGCACTTTTGCAAATACCATTGAAATTTCACTTTTATCATATTTCCGTCTTAAAATGCTATCCTCATTGTTAAGATAATCATACGAATATTGATATCCCTTTTTGCGGCTAATTTAGCACGATATTATAATATTGTGACGTAATATTTATAAAGGATAACCAAGTAACTTTCATTATTTCTAGTTTTGTATCTGATTGTTTATTACAATTGTTGAGTATACTTTTGCTGACGGTAATACGTAATTAATAACGAAGTTGTATACTTTTCCTTCAGACATAGGATAATATTCATAAAATGCAGCAATGATATAAATCTGATTACATATCTAACTATTATCGACGAAGATTTTTGAATAACGATATACATTGCGTGATAGTATTTTGTGGTGATTTTAATCAATAGCCTAATATTTATTGCTACATTTACCTGTATTTATTGCAAGATTGTGAAAGCTAAAGTAGATAATTAAGTAAGGTTTGAATGCCAAACTTTACAAAACTATCCACGAACATGCGATGAAATCGACTATTTTACATCAATCAGATGGTATCATCCTATAAAATGAAATTCGAGGCTATTATATCTATCTCACCCAACGTTAAATTTATTCAATTTCAGCCAATCAAGGCTGTAGTAATGAAACCGGAATATGTCGTATTTATCACATTTGCTATTATAAAATGGTTGACAAACGAGCGTATCTTTACTGCATAGAAAGATGCACTTTTAATTAATTATAGGTACCGTGTGTTTATCAGCAGAGAATTGGATGATTCACTTAATTAAAATTACTATGCTGTTTAATTAGTACGGCTAGATAATTATAATCAATGAAGCTAGATCATTATTTTAAAATGCTATATATAAAGACGTCAAGATAGATTTTAATAGTTAACAACTAATAACGGGTGTAGACCCATGAACATTATCCTTGGTTCATGTACAAATACTACTGAGCGAATTTATAATATTTGATATACTGTAATTATAACATGTAATTTTTTAAATGTAAAGTATGGATAAAATGCAGTACTGCAAAGTAACTGATCTTGCAAGTATAAGTCATATATCTATATTTCGTAAAGAACATTGTAATTATTATTGTAGATTATCAATTTTTCGATCTAATTTTAAATGTACTAATGTCATTCACAATTTTAAGCTCTCATACTCTGTTGTAAATAAATACATGTAAATAAATCTGTAAATCACTAAGCTGTCCACTAGTCAATTATCAACATGGGAAATAGGACTGCTTAAAAAGTACTCTTAGTCATAGAATTTGTTTGTTATATCATTACTTCAAAACAAACCGTTGAAATGAATATACGATTTATTAAAAATTATTGAATTTACGCTTACTTATGAAATTTAAATGTTTAAATAACTAGGTCATGAAATGAATGATATAGCTGTAAATACTGCGTTATAAAGTGGAGACGGTATTCCTTGCTGTGTGCACGCAATAAAGTACGGGGAATGAGAATTATAAACGCAATATGTTAGACTATAATATAAAGTTTCGGCTATAACAAAAACAATTAAGGAATTGTAATTGCGGTTTACTATGAAGTAAATGGCGTAGCGGCTGTATTATATTCTAATTTAGTTTCGATATTGTTCACCTCAGATCGATTCATATTTTAGCAGTTTTATACGCGTAGAAATTGAATATTCGTAGAAGGGAATTTATAATATTTTTTAACGTATTACCGACAGTGAAATGGCTTTTATCTACAGCAGCTAAGTTTAAAGATTTCATAACTCTTTTAGACTAAGCTATCATTTAGAATTAAATGTCCAGTAAGTAAATGATAAGTTGAAAGTATAAGGAGGAGTGTTGATTGGTAGTACTGTACTTTCATTAATACGGGAACGTACTCACAGACTACACAATACTAATATGCTTTATCTAACTTGGTTTAAAACATTTAAACAACCCGTGTTTGTTTTAGGCTGTAAAAGCTACTTTTTTGTTTCGGTTAACTTTATTTAGTGTGTACTCTAACAGTGAATAAAGTTAAGCGAAACGAAGCGTAAATGTCATTATTTGAACTAGAAAGCAGTATGTAAAGCAGCACAGCAAAAGTTAAAGGGAATCATAACATAGAATATTCTAATAAAACTATGTAGAAAAACTTGTATAATAACTTATGCGATAGAATTTGTGTTATAGTGAATAGTCCAAGAATATTCTGATACATGTCATATTGGACATACGTGCTTCTTACCTGCATAGTGATTACGTTCACAAGACTGATATGACATGTATCTGATAACTATCACGAAAGGTGGTGATGATTGATATCTCTATACCGTGCTTTCTATGTACTGTATTTAAATAAATGAATTATAAGGCTATAAAGATAACAGAATAGCTTACGTTGTCACATGTATAAATCAATTTAGTAACAGATCATTACTGGAGTAGTTGGATCGGTTTAAGGATAATGTACCCCTGTACGCGGTACATCATCTTAACTTAATTTAGCCCAGCTACTTTCGCAGTAGAATAACCAAGCATTGACCCAGTTTTAATATTGACCAAAGGATAACATACCATTGTGAAATATCATGATGTGGAGCGTATATGTAAGAAATTTGAAAATTTCTAACGTTGCTTTTTGCTATAGTTACACAAACACCACTTTCAGAAAGTGAGTGGTCACAGTAATCCATACTTGTATAAATAATTGCTAAACTACGCTGAATGTATTTATTTGTCAAATACCAGTACAATATAAAATACTTTTATAATAATTATATACCATTCAATTCATTAAATAATCTTAAAGGAAGTCAGTTGTTATCTAACCATAATTATCGATTTTTAATGAAATAAGCGATATACAGTACATCAGAAATAAACTGAAATATTCGTAATAATCTATTTATAAAAATACAAAATGTCACAACTCATGCATATTTATAAGGGCTAACTGGCCAATTTTAGCTGCCAATCGTATCGCGGTGGTTTATTTACATTTTCAAGCTTTAATTAAACTATGTTTAAATACACACACTATAGCAATAAATATACAATACAGTACTGTACACTGTAGTATGCAAACATTTATATATGTATTCCGAATATACTGGTGTGAACGGTACTATGTAGAACACAGGAGAATGCACATCAGTCATATTTGGATCCTGCTGTGCTTTTCCAAATTGCCGTGCCATATTACGCATTAAAATGTCATCTCATTACTATATTTAATAAAGTTGTTATTGTAAATCACAGTGAGGCCTAGCCATACGTATACAGTATGTACAGTAGGTTATAGTAATGGAGATAAAGACAGAATATACTGTTGTCAAGTATTGCGGCATAATTTACCTCCGAAGCAGAACCATAGAGTACTGTATGTTGCGCATTACATTTTACTCATGTGACAGTGCTCTGCAATAATAATATTGAATTTTTATACGATGTTTGATCTCCACATGAATTCAACATTTTGGTCTAGTGCTGTACGATATTAATTCTAGCTATTTCTTCTAGATATGCTGCGCATAAATGATCGATCTTGGCGTGAAAGTTTAATTTGAATGCATGCATATTTCAGGAGATATTTTAAGCCAGTATAGTAAAAATGTTTGCGCAATTTTATTCCTACAAGCCAACAAACGAGGCTAGTATGCGAGTATTATAGGGTTATACGGATAGATCGCAGTAGTCTTATAGCAACGATCGTAAAAGCAATACTGCACGAGTACATGGTATATAATACATGTATTATCATTTCGATTTCAACATGAAGATAGGAGCATCACTACAGCATGATCAAGCCTATCACTAGTCCAGTTCAAATAATAATATTCCAAAAATAGACTATCAAAGTCTTGTGACCATCAAGAAGTAACAGTCGCCGTACCGATGATGGTGACAGGATTTTTATACAGTAGTATAAGTGAATTCCGTATCCTGCCGCTAATAATAGTTTCAGTGCAATTTTCAAAGAGTTCCTTTCTACGGAAAAAATACAGGAAATGATTTCTAGATTTTGGAAGTGACATTTGGTCATGATAGTCTCCTCTCCGTATCTTCTAGAAACGCGTAATAGATCGCTTGGGGTATTGATATAAGTACACTAGTGTGGTAGCAATCAATACGTGGTGTACGGCACTAGGAAATGGCAAATAGGAATCTTCCTTTTGAAATGGCCATGACAGTAGTGTACACTAGTGTCGTAGCAATCAATACGTGCTGTACGGGGCCCTAGGAAATGGCGATCTTGCTTTGGAAATGGCCATGACGGTAGTGTGCACTAGTGTCGTGGCAATAGCAATGTTGCTTTGGAAATGGCCATGACAGTAGTGTGCACTAGTGTCGTGGCAATAGCAATGTTGCTTTGGAAATGGCCACGACAGTAGTGTGCACTAGTGTCGTGGCAATAGCAATGTTGCTTTGGAAATGGCCATGACAGTAGTGTGCACTAGTGTCGTGGCAATAGCAATGTTGCTTTGGAAATGGCCACGACAGTAGTGTGCACTAGTGTCGTGGCAATAGCAATCTTGCTTTGGAAATGGCCATGACAGTAGTGTGCACTAGTGTCGTGGCAATCAATACGTGCTACGACAAAATGGCAAATGGCGATCTTGCTTTGGAAATGGCAGTAGTAGCAATCTTACTTTGGAAATGGCCATGACAGTAGTGTGCACTAGTGTCGTGGCAATAGCAATCTTGCTTTGGAAATGGCCATGACAGTAGTGTGCACTAGTGTCGTGGCAATCAATACGTGCTACGACAAAATGGCAAATGGCGATCTTGCTTTGGAAATGGCAGTAGTAGCAATCTTACTTTGGAAATGGCCATGACAGTAGTGTGCACTAGTGTCGTGGCAATCAATATATACTACCAAGAAATGGCAAATGGCGATCTTGCTTTCAAAATGGCCATGACAGTAAAGGACGGTACTCGCCTATGCCAGTCAAATCCTACAGACTACAGGTGGCTGGCGTCTGCCCACTATTTTTAGCACTGCGGTGTGCTGCGTCTGCTCCACTCTTTTGAGCACTAGGGTGTACCGTCTACAGTGCAATGCACTGTAGACGGTACCGTCGTGTGGTGACCGTATTTGGGTTTGTCCTACTGTAGTACGGTATTGTGAAAATCGGGTATTTAACCCATGGACTGGAGTGATTGCGGGACACTGGCAATTGCCGTGGTTGGATCGCAGTAGTGTTGGGAAAGACTTTGTTACCTCTTGCTTACTTGGTCCAATCACTGGATTATACTGTAGAATTGAGGACAGGACTGCGCCACCAAATTGATCTTTGCCAAACCGGCTCTTACCCTAATCATTTTGGCACGCTATTTGTGAAGCGCCATGCAATCGATAAAGTGCGTCGTCGTCGGTGATGGGTAAGTATTCAACAATTCGCAAAAAGTGCTTGTAGGTGTCTAATGGGCATGATAGGAAAAAAATGAGGTTACGCTTGAATAATATCCATGTGATAGAAAAAAATCAACTGTCTTGGGCTGCCTTCTTCCCTACTCTTGAAAGCCCAGTAGGATTTCGCTTCCTGTACTTGACTAGACGCCACTTCCAATGGACAAATCACCCAACAGTGGCCAACATACACACACACACACACAATCTTGTTCACGTTAGTCAAGCGCTTTCAAACCCAACAATCGCCATCATACTTTCATCAACGACCATGACAAACGACAAGAGTAGAAATGAAGGAGTAGTTGAGCAATGGAAAGAAAACCGACGCATTGTGCAGTGGCAACGTCTTTCCTTGCTATTGCAGTGAAATTTTCTTCCTTTTGGGGGGGTGTCTATACCTACACGGTAGACGTAGTAACTGCATACTGCCAAGAGCTTTTCAACACCAACTTTTTCACCCCTCTCACCAATACTACCCCCCTCTAGCCGTCGCTTAAACCATCATTTTTATTTCAACGATGCATTCATCTTCAACACAACCATTAGTAAAATACACTTTATTCCCTATTTTTCAAGCAAACATCAACAGTACTCTATAGTAGCGACTGAAGTAGAAAAGCAATCATTTCAAAATGCTTACTGTAGGCACAATACTCAAAGTTTTTTTTTCAAAAGTACTTTTCAACCAGCATACAAGCACACAGGGATCAATATTGCCACACTGGATGATTTGCAATACCAATAAGAGTCCACCAATGGGGGCTATAAATGCAATTGTTCTTTTCATTTTACTTCACTACAAGTCAAATTTCAAACGTTATTGCTATTACTTCAACAAGATACAAAGAGTGGATATTGCCAAGGACAGGACAGTCGTAGTCGTCCACTGACAGACGACTAAGTGTGGGTATTCACTTAAAAAAGTGGATCATAGCAGCAAACCGATAACCAACCAATCGGCATGATACTATACCATAGACTACGCAAAGGCAGCCATACCTCCTAACTCATGACTACAGTAATCACTTCAATTGCAACTTGGAAAATGTATATCAGCATAAATTGTTGTTTGCGGAACATTTTCCATGAGGAAGGATAGCAGTAGGCCAACAGTACTGTGCGTGACATCCACAGCAGTATTCATGACATACACTACACCAGTGGTAGTCCCATCATGTATAGTAAAGTACTATAGGTACTGGTAGATCTTCAACGGAATAATGCCAGCCAATGCTACTACGGCATGAAATAATTTTTCCTTTGGGCGTATACCCAAATTTCCATTTTATTTTAATGGCAGCCTTTTTATACAAAAGATCAATCCCCTTCCTTTATTCAATGATGAAAGCGATATCATTAATTACATTTTAATTTTACTATAAGTATTTATCAAAGTACTCGATCTATCTTAATTGCTCCTCCTGCGCCATGACAAATGACTTTTCTACATTGCATTCAAAATCCTGCGCTCTTCAATATCATGACTGCCTGTGTTGACGCAAAAGTAGTTGTGCGTCGTTTTGAGGCGAATTGGTACAGTATTTGGATGAGGTACAACAAAGTATTCGATCAACTTTGTAAAATAAAATGAATCTTGTTCATTAATAGTGCAGTACATTATCACTTGTTTTAATTTCCCCCCCCCCCCTTGAACCCACTTGATGAAGTGCGTTACCTTCAGCGCAGTACTAGAAATTGAAAGATTGATTCATTGACAACGTTGTCATTAGTTTTTACTGTCTTCACAGCGCGTTAAGATAAAAATCCTATTTACGGGCTAGTTCCTACTACTGCTTTTAACAAACTTCATTAGTCGACTCTTGCAACTAGACGAAATAAAGACTTTTTTTTTTTTTTCATCCTAAACCATCGTGGTAGTTTGGGTCTGTATGCAAGAATTCTCCACTTTTACCGGGGTGCACCCCTTTCCCATGGTCGCGCTGTACAAGCACGATAGGACTGTACTGTAGAAGATACGGTGTCAAGGAGAGAAAAATCAATCCACATTGCATTCTTAGATTTTGGGATCTCTCTCTCTCTCTCTCTAGCACTGTATAGTTTGATGTTGATGGCGGCTAAGGACTAGATCATCAACAGTAATGCAGTACTATACTCCTTCTTTTTTTTTTGTTTACCCAGAGTACCGTACGACTAAGTCTACTGTACAGGACTGAAATGTTTTATTATTATTTTTATAATTATTTACCCACCTGTTGCGGTGCAACAGTATGCATACGTCAATAATATAATTGATGATATATACATATGAGGTATTCCATTTTGCAACAACGATGAGAGCATGGATTAACCACTGGTAGTTTATGCAAATTTATTACAGCGTTATACATGAACACTTGCCATTATTTCTCAATCATTAGTGTTAATTTGCTCAAATATCTACATTACGTGGTTATATTAACTGGACTAGCATCTGTAATAACACTACAATAATGAATCTAGAATTCTAGATTGCTCTTCCCTAGTTATCCTCTTGTACTGTAGTATTGGTCTATAATAATTAATTGATGGGACCGCTATTGAGTTATACTGTACAATACTGTAGCTAGATACAGTATTGCATTGAATGATGTACCATTTTAGTCCACTCAGTTTAGAATGGAGAAAATTGAAATCTTAAAGCGATAGTGATCGATCCACTACGAGTTGTCTGGTTGATAGAATAGATTGACAAAAAAAGTTTATACTGATAAAATTTAGGATATGCCCAAGCTGCTGAACTGCGATGAAAAAGTTCCGATTTTGTCCATACTGAGTCTTATGAATTAAGTAACTAATAATTACTGTAAATAGTAAACTCCTGTCACTTTGATAAGCGAAATTACGCGCCGCTTTAGATTAATCTGATTTTAATAATTGACGGTAACTTTAATAACGAACTATTTGATGCTACTGTAGTATAGTACAACCGCAATTTAACAATAAATTATGGTTATGAACATGCTTACAGTTCTTTTACTTCTCAATAATGTATTAATTATCAATACGGAAAGACAAATACTATGAATGCAAGCATTAAAGACAACGACAGCTTCTTATAGTATGCTGTTTACTCTATGATTTTTATTCTCTCGCCAATGACCTACAATTTCTCTTCCAATACAGTATACCTACTGCCTGTACTGTAGCTATCTAAAGCTGCCTAGTTAGCAATATACCGCGAAATATCATGACATTATCAACTTCTGTTGTGTACTGTATTGAGAATGATTGGCTTGGCATTTTTTTTCTAAATCGTCACTTTTTAGAATCGTATTAACTAATATGTTGGTGGGATTTCTATTTGAAAGCAATATACCGCGGAATATCATGACATTATCAACTTCTGTTGTGTACTGTATTGAGAATGATTGGCTTGGCATTTTTTTTCTAAATCGTCACTTTTTAGAATCGTATTAACTAATATGTTGGTGGGATTTCTATTTGAAAGCAATATACCGCGGAATATCATGACATTATCAACTTCTGTTGGGTACTGTATTGGGAATGATTGGCTTGGCATTTTTTTCCCAAAATCGTTCACTTTTAAAATCGTATTAACTAATATGTTGGCGGGATTTCTATTTTAAATAAATTTTAATACATTAAAATGTTTCGCATACGCAATAACTCCCAGTTAGGTTTGTTTTATGTTGCCTGATGTTAACTCTAAACAAATTAACTTCAATAAATACCTAGGGCTGTCGGTAAAACCTGTCTACTGATCAGCTATACTACAAATGCGTTCCCCGGAGAGTATATCCCAACTGTGTAAGTATCAATGCATTGCTACAACTTGTAACTGTAAGTGATTGATTGGTAAAATAATGTATACCGGAAAGGTTTATGATAGATAGATAAAACGATACCTATATATGTACAGTATTTGACTGAATTCACCGCGTCGGTTATATCTAACCCTATATAGATTTGATAATTATTCAGCGAATGTTTTGGTTGATGGAAAGCCTGTTAATTTGGGACTATGGGATACAGCAGGTAACTTTTTGTAAAAATTTTGAACTTTCACCATTTCAGGCTCGTTGATTGTGCAATAGATAAAAATTTATAAAATCAATCTCTTTATTATCCTACAGGACAAGAAGATTATGATCGTCTGCGACCCTTATCGTATCCGCAGACGGTATTTTTGGGGGATAGATTTAGTAGTTTCTGTGTCTACTTCTCAATCTTAAAGTATACTGTACTAATTTGTATATTATAATATTTTATACATATGTAGAACGTTTTTCTCATTTGCTTTTCACTTATAAGCCCTTCTTCTTATGAAAATGTTCGAGCAAAGGTTGGTACCAATAATATATTCAGTAGAGTTAATCATACAATTGCTAACATACGATTGAATCCATATTTCTTTGATATCATCAATGAATAATTTAGTGGTATCCTGAAGTTCGGCATCATTGTCCAGATGTTCCAATAATTTTAGTTGGAACTAAATTAGATTTACGTGATCACAAGGAAACTGTGGAAAAATTGAAAGAAAAAAATGGTGTCCCTATAAGTTACCAATCTGGTTTACAAATGAGTAAAGAAATTGGCGCTGTCAAGTATTTAGAATGCTCTGCACTGACACAACACGGTCTAAAAGTGGTTTTTGATGAAGCTATACGAGCCGTTCTTTTCCCCCAGAAGAAAGGACCCAAGAAGTCTGGACGCTGTCTACTCTTGTAGAATCTTCAATGAAGGAAGCGGATTCTCGTTATTGCTTCTTTAAGTAAATATTACCCTCAGTTTTTATGGTAATAGAAATCTATTTGAATTTAATTTTTGTTATACGAGGAAAATGTTGGTAATAACGGAATGAAATTATAACAGTACTTGAAAGAGTAAGTAGTAATGTCCCGACATCTTTGTTAGGACCAATTAATATTACTTACCGGTTCCTAGTCCTGAAAGCATGACTCCTTGGTAATGATAATATCGTCTTTGTATATTAAAGTTATTTTTAAGCTTGTTAATGATGACATTAGTTTTACATTACTCAACAGGGCTTACATGTTTCAACTAAAATGCCCTATCTCGATCTGATTACTGTATTTCAACTATCTACGTAAATATTGGTTGCAAATTTTCGAAATTTTACACATGCTATTACAGTATCTCGCTTTTTATTTAATTATGCTAATGATATTTCAACAATTTATTATTACCGATTTCTCATCATGATTTCTTTATGATTGGTATATTCTTTTATATCTTTTGTCATATGTCAATAAATGGAGTGTTTTTATGAACAAGATTGAAATTATTTGCTTATTTGTTGTTTAGATTCTTCCTTGAACACATAAGTTTGTTAGCTCGCCTTTCATATATAGTGCAGTCATAATAGAACATTATTGTATAGCGTCGGTGTTGCTTCTTTGACTAGTGTTGGAAAGTACTTTAGTTGCAATCTAACTGGTACTGTAGTGATCTTTGGTATTGATCGTTGTTATGGTTATGCCTAATTGGAATAATTTAAATATCTAGCCATGAGTACTGACATTTACATGTCATTGAGTAGAGTTAGTACTTTTCTATCAATTTTAAATTCAGACGTGTAAATGTATCATCATGTTCTTATGAGCAAATGATAATTGAGTTCCCCTAGTAGAGTAGATATACGATGAATGATACTTGCTAATTATATAATCTATCTCAATTACCCGTTAAAAGATTAACTAACAAATAGTATTCAGTCTCTACTGTAGTGTGTATATGTACGACACTATGGAAATGTAATGAAGTGTCTTGCAGTCAGCCATTACATCAGTCATAAGAGCTTTAATAGTACATACTTTATTTGCATTACATTATTCAGATGGCAAAGCGCACCTTGTCTGGATAAACTCCCATTATAGATACATTTTTGAGTAAGGTTCAAGTGTAGTAACAAGTATAAGCACAGGTCGCAAATTGTTGTACTGATGGTTATCGAATTATACCTGTATTACTGTGCTGCATATCAGGATTGTTACATGGGTCTCTAATTAAATAGCCAACGCATTGAGAATTCTTAATAGTTTAAAAAAGAATTGTCAATCGATTTATAATTGTGCCCTATAAAGAGTACTGCTGTATTCTTACTTAGACGCTATTAGGATTAAACTTGCGATTATCGATACATCGTAAGCCATGTACTAATAACAAGCTATAGCCGAAATATAGCAAGTTTCCCTTTAATTAGTGTAGATCAGTCTATTACGATTAAATCCAAATACAGTACATTAATTATCTTAGTAGAATAATAGAGTATGTCACGATTTACATACATCTATTAGTACAGTACACATTATATCTCAAATATAAAATCATACAGTACAATCATTTAAAAAGAAAAGTTGCTAAAATTACCTCATAATGCTGAAAAATAGATAGATTTTACGATTTTTATCATCATCGATCCATTGCATAAGATCTCATTTCATTATTACTATACTTATGATTGAATATATAATCGCTATCAGCAGGTACACATACTTTAATCTGTCGAAGATGGCTATTACGTCCATTCTGATGATTTGAGAGTATAGCTAGCTGCAATAGGAATGCTCTAATATTTAGTGGGATGGTTATCCAACCATCTGGCTCGTTTAATTCCATTTTATGTATTTCGTGTAAATCATGATCATGCAAGCCGACACGAACAGAAATCTCTTTGGGTGTGTAACTTTCGTCCAGCTTGAAATCTGTGTAAATTTTTAGACAGCTTATATAAGTTTTTTTAAAGAACTGAATGTTGATGAGATGCGGCTGTGAACCATCTGATTGCCAATAAGTTTCATAGCTATTGTCTAATAACTGATGAATTCCTAGGCCTGGTTTACATGATGATACCGACCAGACTGCTTCGTTGCCAACTTCTCGATCTTTGGTGAAGATCTTATTGAGACATAAGTCGTCCTGATTTTCACTGTGTAGCATGTCGTTGTACTAAACCTATAAGAAATTAAAAATTTTTGATACCGTGTTATGTCCTACATGTACATGAATCCAATTACTATTCAATATTCTACAATAAAATCGACCATCATGTTAGAATTTTAAAAGTTACTATGAACTGGAAATTAGCTTCATTTGACATCGATTGCAGAGTATAATTACTGGCATCTAAGTATTATTTACTGTTTACTATCAGAAGCTCTATTATCATAAAGGAATTTGTATCATTAACCTACAGTACTATATGATAAATAATAATAATATAACTTAAGATACGCAAGATCTACTGTAAATTATCATATCTATTTACGCATTTTGGAATGCTCTTTCATTCCAGTCTAAACAATTTACTCAATCGGCCTATTCAGATCGTTCCAAAGCATAACGTGTATAGCAATAACAATAAAATCCATCACTAAATGTCAAGCAACTAACAAGCCTAATACCCTTCTATCGCGTCCTTTTTACCTTGGAGATAGTTATATTAAATCACACTATTCATGGAGAATTTCCCAACATGATCGTTGATATTTATGTTTTGAAGACCGAAGGCCTGGTGTAACTGGGCAAATTTGTTTTTTAAATTACAATCTTTAACCGCTTTCTATTAGTTACAGTACAGTCCAGGGCTTGAGTAGTAAGTACTGCAATGCTACAGTACATTGTACAGTATAGTACTGTACGGTCATGTGTAACCACTTTGAATACGGTACAATACCGTACAGTGTACAGTGTACAGTGCGTCACACTGTGCGGTACTGTACACTGTACAGTACAGTACAGTACAGTATGGCAATAACAAATTACAGGACCCAGTGTTGGTACTGTCACGGTTAACTGCTGTAGTCCACTATAGTATAGTATATAGTGTATACCTCGGTATCAGACATAACAGCTAACACCGATCTGCAGTACTAGTACGTACAGTACTGCTCTCATGCACTCACGCTGGCTAGGCAACCACAAGAGACAAGTCGAGCTTTCCCAAGAAATCCTTTCCAGATAGAACTGATCGTCTTTCGCATCGGAAACCTTACAAGGTTAGCAATGGATGCAATACGTAGTTTTAGATTCTCTTCCTTGTTATAACTTGATATGCTATACATGTTTAGCTTAATACAACAGTTATCTTGAAAATATTGATGTATGTACAATTGTACTGTACATATCTCGTGGATAGGTCGTTGTGGGATACAATTCGTGGCGAGACTGTAAAAGCAGGAAAAGGAATCGAGAAAGAAAGCAAATCAGCTGTCAAGCATCATCCATTTCATAACTCAAGTACTATGGTGAGATTAAGTTATAGATGTTTCATTCTTTATTATGTATTGTAGCATAACACGAGCTAATCATTCCTACACTGTATGGTATAGGAGAATAATTCAACAGTAGTACAGTATGTAGTCATTCGAGCTTCAATAGGGACATACAACTTCAATGTACAAGTTGCAATTACATCAATTTGCAATAAAAAGGATATCAAATTGGCAGTATGCAGATTAGATAGTAATTGCTGATAGAAAATTGCAATTATAAATTTAGAATAGGTAATACAAAACATTTAGTGTTGTAAACTGTAAACATCTTGAAATTCTCTTTCTACTCCATTCGCATCAAGTTGATCAAAAAAAGCATCTGTAAAACTAGAAAATATCTTGAGCGAATCTACCAGCTTATTATCCATTTTGCCATATGTCCGATTCTAATAACTCATTCTTTTATCTACTCCTAGGCCGATAGATACAATATTCACAGTCAAGTTGAGCATTGTAAGTTTCTATTACAAAAAAATAGTACAACGTAATGCCGTGATTCGGTTTACAGTAATACTATCTAACCGTAACTTTTACTCCCTACCGTGATGGGTATAAAATCGTCATATGAATTAACAAATACTGTATCCATTCAAATTTGATACTCAATTATAGTACAATCCAAATACGTTGGTACAGGCCATGCAGACACGACCAAATAGTAAGTCCAATTCCTATGGTTTAATGACCCGATGATTGAACATGCAATAGGATATAATTTGTGCATTTTTTAAAATCTTGTCCGTATCTTAAGATTTCAAAATTAAATTATAAACTGATGCCTTATTTTAAAGTGAAATCAATTAATAACTTTACTACATGACCATTTCTACTTCTTCATCTTGTAGCGAATGGATGAATAACCAGCATCGAGATACTTATGCCTCTTTTATTGGTCATCATGATCTGTTATCATATTTCGCCTTGGTAGATAATGAATCTCGCGAACGTATAAGATTTGTCATGCTACAGGTAATTGATCAGAATGGTGTAATTGAGTTTATTAGTGCGTTTTATATGCAACTGAGCACTAATTAGAGAATTGAAATTTTATTTAGAAAATGTTACAGCCATGTGGGCCACCGCCGGAAAAGCTAGAAACCGAATAGATATTTTAAAGTAATTAGTTTAAATATCATTGAATAAGCTATAGTCTCACTGTGGTTCTCCTTTCATCGTATTGGCTACTCTTTTGCAACGTAATAGGATTTTGAAATGGAAGAAAATTAATGTAATTTATAATAATTACAAGGTTATTGATACTGTCTCTGATCGATAATGATTACTGTCTGATATGGTATTAACTTTGTAAATTTAGTTGTTTCTCTTCACGGATAGAATAACATTGGCACCAAAATGTACTATAATAATATTAAAAAGCATTCTTATTTAATATTGAAAATGAAATTGTGCTAATTACAAAGGATAAATTGTAACTGTATAGCGTATGCATGATACACTATGTATGTGTAAACCGCAAATATAGTGTCAAATCTGTAACTGATCTGTCATCATAGACCTTTAGATCATACCATAACCTATATTTAAGTAAAGTGATCCGTAAATGTGCGTTTAAGTCTATTAGTTCTTTTAATCTCTTGAGAATAAAACTTGGTCTACGATGGCCGCAAATGCATAAGGATGCGAATGGATTCTAATTTATTAGCACTGTTAAAATGAATTATAAAATCAGATTAAGATAGTTATAAAATCCTACAGTTTCAATATGAAACAGCGTACGCATAGCTACTTCAGTTTCATTAATAGTAGGCAATCGTAGTTGAGAATTGTTTGCTTGTCCGGCGAAACATTAAATATGGAGAGCGATACTTTTTTATTATCCTGATGATGTGAGTAATAGGAGGCCGAGAATTTAGGTTAAGGAAAATTTTTTATTTTGTTCATAGATTCACGGTTAAAATAGTAACGCATTTTTGTTATATACAACGGTATCATGTAAGAGTTCTTTAATAATCTTTGAAAGGTTGTACTTTCGAAATTATGCTCGAGCTTAAATTATTGCAAGTCTTTATCTAAGAATTTAGTATCGTATAACGAGAAATTATTACTGGCGTTGTCTCTTATACCTCTTAACTTTTTTAGATCTTGAGCATACTGGCGCTCTTGAGACAATGTCTGTCGCTGATTTTCTAACTGTTTTTTACAGTCCTGTAAAGCCCGCACATTCCGAATTAAGTTTAAAAGTTCTTTACGTAGTACTCTATTCTCAGACTTTATCCCATCCGTAAATTCCTTCAGACATTGCATGGCTTCCTGTTTGAGAGATTAATAAGTAAAGTTAGTCTAATCCATACCGTATTAAGCATAACTAATAGGAGTATTTCTTAGTCTGATTACTGAACGTCTTGTCACAAATTATTTCAAAAGTGAACATAGTCCTATAAAATTTGACTTTTCTAAACCTGATTAGCTTGCTTTTCAAGTTGTTGTATTTTAGACTCTGATTCTTTTTGAAAATCTTTCTTTTCCTTCAAAAACTTCGACTTTAGAATTTGGATATTTTCTGTATGATGTTTTCGCATTTGTGAAACTTCCTTTTCTAATTTTTTTATTTCTGCTTGCTGCTCTCCTTGTAGAGTCTACAGCACACGAAAATATTGTAATATACATCACACACTATCCTATCTTATAAGTAAAGGCACATATCATAAACATATACACGTATGTAGTCTTTGAGACCTTATATTCAGCTAGCTCTGATAAATCTTTATTAATCCGTGCAAGTTCGCTCTCCTTCTCTAGAATAACCTGACGAAGTTCTATAAAGTAACAGTAGTTGTTAATGTTAATTTTGTAAGTATAGTGCATAAAATTATCATCTACTGCAATACTAAATCACAATATTGCTAATATACTGTAGCAATAAAGTGCATTAATAAACAAACCAGTTTTTTTTGCTTCATATTCTTGCATCATTTGACGTTTCTGCTCTGCAATTTTCTGAATTTCTTCTTGATTTTTGTCACTTAACGATACAACAGCTGATTGTCTCTTATTTGTTTTCTTCGACATGTATGACATGTACTCATGCTAGAAGATATCATAATGTTACCGAAATTCAATACTGAATTCACTACAGATTTTACATCCTACAACACAAGTCATATAGCTACCAACTAGCCAATATTTTGCAAATATTAACATTACAAGAACATACACTTTCAATCCTTGTTCTTCTGGCTTCTTCTTGTAACCATTCATTTTCTTTCTGACTTTGATAAGTTTAGGCATAATACATATATAACACTTAAGAAGGTAATAGAGGGAGCAAATATATCCTGCTTGATATGAAAATACATAGTATTTATGCTGTAATTAAGTCTATAAAGCAATTAGAACTACATTATATCAAAATTTTGTCATATTGTATTCATTCTACAATTACTACTTGTCTAAGAAAGGATACACTTCAGCGACTTGGTTTTTAACTTTCTCTAATTCTTCGTTTAAATTTGCTAAACTGTGAACAAAACACAACAGGACACGGATTTAATTAAAATAAAAGTTATATGTTGTAAGATCGTTAACGCAAATTAGATAGGCTCACAAATAATTGCCATTAATATTTTAATTTGATCTTTATAATGTTATCACAACTATCAAACAACGTAAATACTGTATATTGATATACGACATAATAAGGCATTAAATATCGTAAATAATATTATTGGGAGACAGGTACTAACTTAGTCCTAAGTTTTAATTCCCTTTCGGAGACCACATTTACTTCCTTAGCAGTAGCAGGCGAACTATTTTCAGCTCTACTATCAACACCCTTTTTTTTCGATTTTTTTATTCTTGCCAGGCTAGCCATTAACTATATAGTTAAAGATATATAGTTAAAGGTGTTTCGTTGTTAGTTATTTTAATATTAAGACACAGTTTGGCATACGAGTAAATCAATATACGAGCTCGTATTAATCATAGCGCTTACCGTTATAATACTTATTGATAGTTTTAATGGCTTCAGCAACACAAGGACCAAATTTCTGAAGTTGTTATTTCTTAACTTGATACAGTAAATAGGAATACTACATCAATATCTAAAAATTTATAATAAGGATCTTTCATTCCACTTAGAAGTGCTGTAATTGTATATTATTCGTCGATGCAGTGTTCCAGCCAATGCTTGGATTGACGTTGAACTAGGTCAAGCTGGACCTAAGATGATCATCCAATAAATCTATTTAACACTTTAAATTTCGATACAGAAATCAGTTCATAATCATTTCTAAAAAATAATAAATACCTACCAAATTAGGAGTTAGATGATTTATTTTATATATGTAATAAATCAGAGAAGTTCTTGATGGTGTCTATAATCAGAGATGGTCAATTTCTATCGCCATAAATTTCGAAATACGTTGTTATTGCTTATATAGTGTTGAGTCATTGGACTGTATTTATAGCTAATTATAATTACTCAAATACTATACACTGTAGACCAGTAGCAGTCTTTCCGATGATTTACTAGTCTATAAATGCGATTTATGACAGATTCTATACCGTAGATACTATAGAATTGGTTATAATTAATTATCGAATATTGGCGATTATTTTAAAATCTCCCACCTTGCTCAGTATGAAGATTTTGAAATTGTGTTACTTCAGGTTGTCATGACGATCGCTATATAGTACAGTATACGGTAAAGTACAGTTTCAGCGGATACAGTCCTATACCGTACACTATAGTAGCATACGGTATACTGTACAGCTTGATACTAGGGTATCTATAGCGACATAAAATTACCCTACAGTAGAGCGGGAAGGTCTAATTACAGTAATATTAGCTTTCATTTGCGTACGATATAAACACTATATAGTAAAGACGAGGCCCAATAAAACCGCTTACAACATCTCCATGACTACCAAAGTTTTGCAAAGATCCAGACTAGCAATAAAGTCACACAGTGCAATAGTAGCGACATCGTTAACTTAATCAAGATGGAAGACGGCGGAGAAATTATCACTGGAGGAGGTACTGGTGCCGGAGATGGAGCTTATGATTTCCGTCGATTACACAACTATCCTTTGATTAGAGTATGTCGTACTTTTATGTATACTACATCAAGTCAACGTTTTGATTAATAGGAAGAGGATATTTCTTACTTTGAAGAATTAGAATAACACAGTACATGCCTATCCTCATTTTAAATATTTTTTTATTATTATTTGGAGTGATTAAATGATTTATATATAGGTATATATATATACTACTGTATTGATCCTAAGTTTATAATGAAACATAGACTGCTTTTTAGACGTCAAACTGATTATTAAATTATATCTAGCACTCCGATATGCCGGATGAAATGAGAAATGAAGCAATGGAACTATGTGTTACAGCCGTCGAAAAATATCCCAGCAATAACGAGGTAACTTACTTAGCCATGCGATGACACATAGGAACAGTTTAATATACGTATACTATTAAATATCAGCAGGAAAGTTAAAATTTTTCAATAAAGGCAATAATCTGTATGCAAGGTAAAATATTGTTAATATTAAGTCTCAATATGAAATTCTATAGAGTGCAGCAAGAATGATCAAGGAGAATATGGATCGTAAATTTGGTTCGTCTTGGCATGCACTTGTTGGAGAAGGTTATGGATTTGAAATTACTCATGAAGTCAAGAATTTATTATACATGTTTTTCGGAGGCAACTTAGCTATCACAGTTTGGAAGTGCTCTTAATTATCTACATTGTAGTTAGAGCATTATTGTATGTACAGTTGACATAGTTATCACTCATGCGATTATCAAATTGGGAGTCAATTTCAACAAATCCTATGATAACTATGCTTTTTACTAAATTTCTTTTACTATATGTTAATGTTCAGAACAGCATTGATCTTTCGCATTGCTTTTAATATGGAAAATTTCTTTATATATCTAAGACGAAGATAAAGTTACTGTAGTAATTTACGACAATGATCTAATCTAATATGACATCACCACGTAATATTTAATAAAATTGCTATTGTTAACCGTAAGGACTTAGACTATAGCATACATATCTGTAGTCTTAAAATTTCTATTAGTACATAACAAATTTTTATAGTGATTACAGATCAGTCCGATAAATCATATCTGGATTCGTAGATGCTGTTATTTGATTCTAAGCGAAATTGCAGTCATTATGATAACATTTGCAAATAAGCGGACAACTTGCAGATGATATCATACAAACCATACTTTAAGCATGTTTGTTGTAGCTTATACCAAACATGAGTAATAGCATCATCGTTATGATCTGATAATGGCTTAACATAAAGGAACGTTATTCGATTGCAGTGATTAAAATACCCTTTTTTAAAACCCCACAGCAAAATTTACGCATATTTACAATGAGAATGGACACAGTACAAACTAAATAAATGATTTTTTTATTTCATACTTTACACATTAGTTATCGTACCAAGTGCCTGTACAGAAGTTAACATCAAATAAACCATCCAATAAAAATGTAATTTCTATGTAAACTAGTAATAATAATTAGTATCGCGAATTGCAATACCTAAAATTATCTTACAATTTACAGACACTGTATTTAGTTTTCAAAATATTCCTCTAATCTTAATTAATATCTTATACAACATTAAATAAGTGCCTTAGTAGTGCAATACTCGTACTGCTGTAGATTTCAAAATTTACATAATACAGTCGTTCTTTTAGAGCAAGATACCGAAAGAAGTTTGATATAATTATATGTTAAGTCAAACAATACATGTCTTCTAAATTGAAATTACTTCGCGATGTTGACTTAAAGTACTATTCCAAGTTCGTTTAGGTTGAATTTTATATAGAAAATAATATTATTAATACCTAAGCGCTATGCAAGTAGGTGAAATAATTCTATCATAATTTTAAACTACGATCGAGATCGCAATACTTTCTCTTTTTCGATCTTAAACTGATCTCAATAAACAAAAATAATCTGACAGATACTTTATAATAAGGATTATGACTTGTTCTTTTAAAGCTCATAAACATTATTATCTAATCTGTTGGGAGTGATGCTACCGTAATTATCACCCGTATCGATAAGTAACGGCAGGCGATTATTATCATTTTGATCACGACTTTTAAACCAATCAGTCAATTTCTTAAACGTACTTCTTTCATCTTGCGGTGGTGGAAGTAGATAATCAAAACTAGCAACTTCTACTCGTCGTTTGCGAGTGGTAGTTTGAGCGTACATGATGTAAAGTAGTAACAGAGAAATAAATATAAGTATTATCGCAGCCGCGATTGTTGCCGTAATTGCAGGCGATACCGTTCCTATTATAGATAATTGTTTAATTAGAGATATAACAAGCAATACATAAACTCAATCATATCATCTTAAAGAGAATTAAATAGTAGGCTCCAAAGATTGAAACTCTTACCGCTTATGTGAAGTATAGATTTCTTAAGGTAACTACCTCCAAAATTTACAGCCGTAACATTAACACAATAAACACCTGAAGAGTTAAAGGTATATTCTAATACTGAAAAACACTGATCTTGACTCAAAGTAGTAATTCTAGTGACGTTTGGGTCATTAAATCGACATTCATCTCCACGGATAATAAACCATTCAAAGTATACAGGCCCACTAGCCATAGTAAATTTTAGTCGAACAAAAATTAAAGAGTTGAAATGAGTATTCAAAAATATTGAAAATTTTTATAAGAATTTTACTTTTAGCAATACTGTAAGGTTTTAATTAATCATTTATTGCGCTTCAGAAATATAAATATAACGAGAATGTTAAATAAATTTATTGTTCTTACGTTCCATTGCAACTAGCAGTCAAATTAATACGACGATCAGCTATCGCTTTATCTGGCTCCACTTTCATTCCTGTGATGGGTTCTACGTTGTGTAATAATTTCAAAGTTGTTATAAAATGACTGGTTTAAATTAAAATTAAATTTCAACATTGAATCAGTTACCGTAAATTGTAATGTTCTCAGTTGCAATGCCATAATATTTAGCAGAATTTGGGCCGGTCGTTGACACATTGACTTTAAGGACATGAAGCCCGGTAGTGATATATTTATGCTGAGTTGTCCAGTAAGAAGCATTCAACGATGCATTGGTATATCCGCGACCATCTCCTGTAGTCCAATTATAAGTAATAGTCGAATTCTCGAAGAAGGCACTGGGATCAATTAAGCTGCAACTAATATTGACCGTTCCAAGTGGAAAGATATCCGTTTGAAGCCATGAGCCAGACGTTCGCTGAACTTTAAAGTTAACTTGTAGATGAGCTACATGAAACATTACCAACGGTTTTAGTGATAAAATTGTAATAACTAAGTATTATAATCACTATAATAATGTACGACAACTATTATAGATTGTTTAACTATAGCAAATAGCATAGTATTCACAGTGTAAAGGCTAACGATTTAAAATCTTGCGATATGTATATAGTGATAATTATAATTATCATTATCATTATATAGATTTCGCAGGATTTTATTTTATTACCTATTCATTTAGAATTAAACGTAGTCCAATATCTTCATATAGAAAAGTAAGTAAACATATAACCGAATATCTAAACTAGCACTATATCAATTGTTGAATTCATCTCATTGCAACGATAATCGTGAGTTGCTATACACGTATGTTTATTATGTCAGTAGTAAAAATTATTACTATGCATGGTTAGCAATTATCACTACACAATTACTAAGACGTATTTTTATAATTCCAGTAAATAGCTAATATCTAGCTGAACGAGCCAAGTAGTAGCCACTGACGCAAACATCTAGCACCACAATGCACCATATAAACTGATGTAAATAAAGTCACTTCAACCCAAATAGTTATTCACTTAATAGTGTAATATTACAGAGATTTTACTAGATTTAGATTGAAGAACAAAATTTTCATTAAGGATACAGTAAACTAGAATTTGTTGACTTACAATTGACCAGGACCTTGGTTGAGTTACATTTTATCATTGTAAATGGACCTTTAAATAGACAGACATGAACCGTATTCATGCCGATATCATCACTATCCCACTGGTAAATATATTTAGTTTCATTATAGGCATGATATACTTGAAAACTGAAGATATCTTCATTCACATGCCAGATGTAGTAAAAGTCATGATAATCATGGGGAATGTTGGTTACAATAGCATGAGTTATCGAATTCGCCCCATAAACTGTTGGACCAATATTATTCATGTTAATACGCACGTTTTCCCATCCTAAAAGAATATAAATTGTTAAATAAGAGAAAAAGTGTCATCCTTGCGAAAAATTCTCTCTTATCCATCGATTTATCTATCCCTGTACATCTTTGAGATGTTACTGCAATATGCAATAGTATATGCCTTATATATTGTTTGTAAAGTTTGTTCACAAAATAAGTGATAAAAATTATTAATTCTGTCCGCCTTCATGGTAGCAACTACATTATTATCGATACGTTTTAGCCTAGATTTAGTACTGTATCAATTTATGACTAGATCATTGTCATGATTTTGAGTAGAGGTCGATCACTTATTTAAATTGATCGTTTGTACGTATTTATTTTATTTCGTATTTGTTATATCACATCAAGCTATGCTTACAGAAATAGTAGTATGATTTACTTTTGTAGTTGTAGAAATAATAAATGATTTTTGCGATTTATTTATTATTTTACTATCATGCTATGCGCAACCCATAGGTGCTTTCTTTATATTGCTATAACTACTGTCAACGTGCAATATACCGTATATAGTACGTTATACATTCTAAAGACTACGGGGTGTAACAATTTAATAAATGTGCCGATAATGTATTAGAAAAATGTCACAGATATAAAGCTAAAAATTGATAGAAGAGTATTTATATAATGATAGCAGATAGACAATGTAAGCTTTGCATACTATCTCTTTATCTACTGTATTGCACAGAAGATGTCTTTAGCAAGTTGATGCTAAAAATATATAAAAAAATTGCACGTAGTACTAACGATTTCAGTACAGAAAGAGTATACGTGCACGACTGAACGTGACTTTATTGCGAATTACTACGTTCTAAACTTATAATTAATTTACTAGCGTTTGGTAAATCTATAAGAATAATGATGGTGTTAAGATCAAGAAGGGTATTAGGTATTGGTATTAGCAGCATTTACAGTCAATTTTAATATCATAGAAAATAAGCCTGAACCGTTTCAAGTTGCACCGTACTGTACAATGTACATATAAGTTCAAGATTCAATGTGAATTTTTAAAATTGATTTATCATACCTGGAAGATCTGCTAGTGATTGACAGCATAATAACGACCATAAACATATCTTTAATATTAGGATTTTCATTTTGAATTTAAAGTGCTACTTTTCAAGGATGATGACGATGTTGCTTATTATGTACGTACAAGGTTGACGATTACATTGATTGATCACTGGTAGTACAAGTGTTGTTGCAAAATAGTTGAAATTTAGTCCATACTTGAAGATGTCGCCTATATTTATGGTAATTGCTTCAGAAATTCATTTAACTATTACCATAGTCCTGCAAATGTGTATTGCAACCACTATCTTTGAATTAAAGAAAACAAAATTGAAATAATTTCAGTTGAAACTAGACCATCGCACGCTTCATTAACCCCTAGTTATGTCTTAATATAGCATTATCCTTCAACTAATTATACAAGAACAAATTTGGAAGATCATGTTCAATGAATCTTTTTAACATAGCACAGAAAGAAGTGGCAAAGACTTGAATCTGATCAGTAGTGTAGCAAATAGAGAGTGCTCAATTGCTCATTGATTGATTGATTAACGTCAAAATTAGAATCGCTCGACCCCTTTCATCTACTCTTTAGCTTGACGGTACCGGTGAAAGGATTGAGCCTATGCGTCGAGAATACGCGTACTCGTACTAAACTATGTTCAATGGAGGACTACTACAGCTCATCTTTTACATATTCCCCAAAAACAGTAGGACGAGTTCATACTTTAATCTAATTGTGACAATCAGAGCGAAGTCGATAGTAATTCTCTACTAATCCATTGATAAAAGTGCAGAAATGATGACATACATGGTGAAGATAGCCATGGCTCTACTGTATTTATTTATTTAATCTCTAGTCTCTCCTTATCAAGGTGATTCTCCATAGCGATTTCAACGATCCTATCCAACTAATCTTTCTAGGACATGAAAAGAAGTAGTCCTATGTTTGTATTGAATGGGGGGCAGTCATTACCAAATCGATCACGTTCAACTGCTAATTAATCCATGAATCAATAGCATCGTTGGATTTATTTCATCTGCCGTGATGGCAAGTCCAAAAAGTGGATGATTCTGGTGATGTACGTTAATCTATCCTGTCCAAGTAGACTTCTCCATGGACATACAGTAGAGTCGAAATGCACTTTATCATAGTAAGCCTTGGTTCAATGGCTAATCGTAGTCTCGTTATTCAATTGATTAAGCTAGTATGGGCTGTTCGGTCGATCAGGTCTATGACCTTTCGACTCGACTGTAATAACCAATCAAAGTGGATATCCCTGTCTTTGGGTACAGGTTGAAAACAGTTTTGCGGTTAATCGACAGTCGTTCAATATAAAAATGATCCATACAGTATACCGAACTGCAATAACCAAAATGAATGTACAGTATTCTACTAAAAGGTAACAATCACTGGTAGGATTGATTAGCTGTATTAAGACATTCCATTTTTTTCTTGATCAACTTTGACTGTCAATCAAGAGTGGAAGTAACTCGTCTTTGCCGCTCCAACTTCTCGTCGACACAATTTAGTCCATTTCAACACATTAATCCTTGTCATTCCATGGACAGCTACAATAACAAACTTACCGTTTTTTCTTTTCTTTCCAAACCAATGGAACAAGAATCTTAACCAAGATTTAAGCGGAATCCATCCAAGAAAGTTGAGTAAGCGAAAACTGCTCTCTAGAAGTAGCCAAGAATAGAAAGAAAGAAAGAATGTCGGTGGTGTCGCCTTGCACTAAGAACGAACTGTGATGTACGTGTCACCTTCTCCAACGATTGACAGCTCTCTTTCGGTCACTGTCGACGGTACGTGCGTACTGCACTGACTTGCGTAGCAGTCACTTCCAAATGCAGAACGTACAGTACAGTACAAGTCTTACCGTATCAATGCTACGGTATAGTATACTTAAATAATAACACAGTACAGTACTGTAAGTTGGCGGCGATACTGTACTGTACTGTACGTCGTTTAATGTTGTTATGACGCAACTCGAAGACTTGACCTTACAAAGAAAGAGTGGATTGTCACACTAGAATAGTATTCCGTATAGCAGCAAAGACCATTAGAATAGTATTCCGTATAGCAACAGAGACCACTAGAATAGTATTCCGTATAGCATCAGAGACCACTAGAATAGTAGTATTCCAACATTATTTTAAAGAGCAATCCAAATGTCACCTTGTCACTGCTACACTTACTGTACTGTAGTGGGTCACCAACTCCCGTCCACAATGACGTCATTGTTTGAAGTTTCCTTTTTCTTTTTGCCACCGGGATTTATTTACAGTACAGTACTGTAGACACTACAGTGTACAGTACAGTACAGTACTGTAGAACCGCAGTTGGGACATTCGTTTTCTCCACCAACACCGTACTGTACAGTATAGTGTACTGTACTGTACACTGTACACTGTACAGTACCCTGCCGTGCCGTGCCGGGCCCGCTGATAGATGTCTGCCATCAAAAATGGCTAAATTCAGGATCCTGGTATGTACTACACTATGCACTATGCGGTGAGTACTCTTTACAAGCAACGGACAAGGGATTTCCTCTTCCCAATCTCGGCACTGATTGTGACTGTAAACCATGTCAACATGGACTACTTCAATTTGGGAGAACATTTTCTCCAAGGTCTCTACCAGGGATGTGAACTTCCAGCTAAGTCAAGCTGTCCATTTCGTCCTTTTGCAGCTCTCTACTGCAGGGTATCCAATCCAACTCTCTGGTATCGAGTCTTCACCCAACTGCGCTGTACTTTAGAGTGCAATCGTGTGCAAATCAAGAAACTACGTCGACAGTAATTTGCACATGATTTATGCAAGAATAGTTGAAGGCAGACAGTAATAATTTCGAGAGAAAATCAACGCTATCCCACTATATTTTCCATATACTGGGCAGAATTAGTCAACATGCCATACCGTACAGTACAGCGCGTACAGTATTACTTACGCCGTGTGGACTGTAGCCATCAGGGCTTCAAAACAAGAATCATTTTGACCTTTTACTGTCTATGTATATTAGTGGTGGAATGGAAACGAAAACCTAGCTGCAAATTTGCCTGCAAACACCAGTATCAATTGGTTAGGGTAGCAAGTCTTCTTACTGTACTGTATATCCATCCTACTTTCAATGCTGTCCATGCAATATTACCGATCTGCTCTCCAACGAATAACTCAGGTACTCCGCCAGCAGCTCATCTGTAGACCATGTCTGTAGATCCAAGTAAGACTCAATGCCAGCCAAATGATAGTGTTAAGCAAGATTGGATTAGGTAAGATCTGTATCAATAACCGGTCGGAGCAATCCAAATACAATATAGTAATACATCCATGATGGTGAAGGATGCTATAAGATTCAATATTGGTCGAGCGACAAGTACACTCTTGTTAACAATGTCTACTGATAGTATCGATATTTGATATTGTACACAGTGCTTTCTTTCTCAACATTTGAATAAACTCAACCATCATGACAGTTTATTTACTATTTTGCTACTCCAATAATTATGTAATTAATTAATTCATTGACTCGTATGGATTTTGTAACATTCAGTCACAAGCGGTGCTATCATATAATACGTGCAGAATAGACAATAATCTGGCTTTGAATTTTATTAAATAGACAGCAAAATGAATTAAAGAAATCGTTAATAACCAACAACCAGGTGAGCTGGTTACCTGCTAATAACAACGATAACAACGTCTCTTTACATGGATTGCATTATATTGGCGGAATCGACCAATCCTACTCTAAGTCAAATCCTTTTTATGCGTGTGCCTCCCTTGTTGTACTAAAATTTCCTGAAATGGAAGTAAGTTTACTAATAGCCAATACAATTTGTACGATCAATATCTGCAATGTAGTTATTTGACGATGCTGTACTGATACTCATAATTTTATATCCTGTCTTGGCTAATGTTAACTTATTGTACTACTATACAGCAGCTTATTATGATTACATCGAATTACTCTATCTTGATATATCTTGACTCTAATTGCCCTGCCTTAACATATCTTTATGCTCCTAGTTGGTCTACTCCAATTACTCTGGAATTGTCCATGTAAATCAGCCATATATACCTGGATTTTTAGCCTTTCGTGAATTTGAACATCTAAGTTATTGCATAAATAAATTAAGACAGGAACAGCCTTCCCTATTACCCCAAGTATAAAAATTCTTTCTCATAATAGTGTTATCAATCACTCACTTCCATAAATCTACATGTGATTGAAACCGTACATAATGTTGCTATACTGTACTTTTATCTACTCTTTAGTAACCTTTCACTATCCAATCTTGTAGGTAATACTGGTAGATGGTAATGGGATTCTACATCATCAAGGTAAGCGGTATAACACCATCTTCAAGTGATAAACTGACACTTTTTTTATTTCTTTAGTGACTGCCAATTTATACCTGTTAGTAATGACGATAATTGCACTTTCAAGTATTTAATTTCAACGTTATTACTAATTACTATCTAGTTTATACTGTGTATGGGTGCTATGCTGAAATCATACACATTAACAATTTACCCCAAATTTCTCAATTGATACATCTAACATATATATACTTGTGTATTTACAGAATTTGGATCAGCATGCCATCTAGGAGTACTGGCGGATATTCCTACAATTGGAGTAGCTAAAAATTTATTGGAAGTCCACGGGATTGCTCGAGATAGTAAACATATGGATCAGGTCTTTACATAAAATACAATCTAATCATGTTTGTAGATCTACTGTATTTCAATGTAATAACTCCTAAAATACTATGATGTACTGGCTTAGATTGCACAACTCAGTACTAAAGGTGATTCATTTCCGTTGACCAATCGCTCGGGAGTTATTTTAGGCATGGTGAGTGAAATGATTTATGAGTGAAACAGGCGTTGCCTATTAGTTTAACTGTAACCCGTCTATATTATCGATAAAGTTAAAGTAATAGGAAATGCCAATATTAATCATCGGAAGCCACTAGGCGTGAAGATATACAATCCAACCTTCACAGCACATACTTATATATAAATCAATATAATTAGACCTCTATAAAACCATTTCTGTGTTATAATTGCAGGCGTTAAGAAGTTCAGAGCAGTCAACTAGACCTATTTATGTATCCGTTGGCCATCGCTTAGATCTTAAAACCGCGACGAAGATAGTATTAGCTTCCTGTAAATACAGATTGCCTGAGCCTATTCGACAAGTATGTATTACGTATCATAGTGAGCTGATTTTTTGTTTTTATTAAAGTCCAACCTTTCAATTCGCTAACAATTATTTTTTTTATTAGGCTGATCACCTATCACGTGAATACCTACGAATAAATTTATCTGAATTAGGAAATCAAGAGATAAAATAATTTCCTGTGATTACATATGTAATATGTGTAATATTTATAAAGTGAATCAATCGAAATTTATTATGTCATCATTGTTATAAACTAGCTTCAAAAATCACCAAATAGTTAGATGAACAGTGACGCTATGTCAATAGTCGTTGAGCTTTATTTATTGCAATGCATGAACCATTCGAATGGCGTATTACTAACATTTTTTACAAGCTAATATGAATTCGAAGGCTAGAATATTAAACCGAACGGGTAAACTATAAATCATACTGAAGAAATTTTAGGAAATAAACACTCAAAACATACTTTCATAAATTTCTCTTAATATGAATCGCTAAGTATATTCAGGTAGCCATTGATAGGATAGTAGACGAAAAATTTCAAGTAATTAGTTGTGTAATTTTTCAGCTAGCGTAGAGAATCTATTATCAACTCCGAGTTCTTATCTGGTGTAGATTATGTCATAAAAGTGCAAAGTCCATATTTTGTTACGCATTTCCGCAAATTACAGTAGCTGTCATGAAAGCCACACAATAGTATAACTAAAAATAATTTGCCTACTCAAAATTAGAATTAATAGTAACCATCAGTTATCAGAACAAAGCAATTTTGTCAATAGGTATTCTACTATGTTAATTTAGATATTAAAAATCACAGTAATGCACTGATTCTAGAATGTAATTGGGCTAGTTATATGTTAGAATAACAAAAATGAAAGTTTTTTTCAACTTAAATATTTAATTCAATTCAACTGTTACAATATCAACCAAACTTTTTCAATTACATTACTATACGAGTGTCATTTGTGATGACATATCCGTATCACCTGGTAATGATTATCGTTTCTAATTTATTTCTCAAGACAAAACATGCAACAATATTAGTAACCAAAAAAATGTCTATAATGTAGAAAAAAATAGGGTTTGAAAGAGTTATATGATATAGCTAAGATTACGTAGAATTTTCTCTGTTATGGCTAACATTGGACGTTTCAATTGGTATAAATGACCTAAAATCAAGAAGGAAACAAAAAATTAAAATAAAGTTTAACATTCATCTTCAATTTAAAGAAAAGCATAGCGCACGCTTTGATCCTAAACTGCAAGTTTTGCCATAATAAAAACTTTGCAAACGTAAGTCATTCAAATGTATGCCGATGTATATGTTATTCTACTATCACGATATAACTTTCATCAATACATTATTAGAGAATCTGCTAAATATATCAGCTTCTAAGGTTACAAAAATTATTTATCAATAAGTCAATAACTTCATCTTACCGTAGCATACTTGACCTTTAGTACTCTAAAATGCGGCATTATTTACTGGTGCAGATGATGGATTAGTCCCTTGTGTACTGTTTACTGACTGGTGATGTCGATGGCGAAGATATGTCGTATTGGAATGGAGTTGTTCCAATGGGAGATATTGTTGCCGGCCCTACTTGCTCAATTCGACTACTACTTTGCCTTCGATGAGAAGCATAGTCAATAGTCTGGCCTACCTCAGCAAGACTGCCACCTCGCTTAGTTCGGTTACTGCTAGTTCAGGATTGCCGTGTTATGTAAAAAATAGCATTCATCAGATACCCATTTTATTTATATCAGTAGCAGTATAGCCAGTATATATGTATGCACAATCATGATGTGATTGTATCCCATAGATTTTACTAGGATTGAAATACTTACGGAGATTCCCTTCCTGTATAAGTCAGCGGAAACCATCCTGACCTACAACAACAAAAGTAGCATTTAATAATACATGGAGTAATTGATTATGACTCGCTAAATAATAAGAATATAAGAATGAATACTATTAACCTTAATTTAGATGTTAATAAAATAATATGAACTTGTTATGATTTAAATTACCTTCCTGTGTTAGTATTTGTACCATATTGCCAGCCATTTGCTGGTTGCCCTAAGGTCTTGATATTATCTCCCTAAAAGGAAAAATGTTTAAAAATCTTAATGGGAAAGAGAATTGTTTTGCGCTCTACCTGTACAATTAAATAGCTTAAAAAAATGACAAGGTAACGCCAGTAAAACCCATTTTCCTGCTACAGTATATGCATAAACAGTAACTAGAACTCAGTCTAGCTAGGTAATGAGCAGTATTTTTAATCGCTAAAGTTAATTTAGGTTAGTTAATAAGAAAAGTTTCTTATATGTAAGAACTATTTTATGAGATATGTACATATACAGTACAATAGTTCGATTTTAAGTGAGCTAAAGCAATAAGAAATTTCTCTAACGTGTAAATAAGTTATTTTATAAACTATGTAAAAATACAATTAATCGAATTTAGATTATCTAAGATAATGAGAAATGTCTCCCAGCAGTAAAAGTTATTTTTTATCGGCTATATTATTATATGATTGGTCGAATTTGGGGTAGCTTAGGTAACAAGGGAATCTCTTATATTTGAGTAGGATCATTAATCAAATAGCTAATACCAAATCCCAACGGAATATTAACAAAAATTGTTTTTACAGAAGGTTACGCAATTTCTTTTTCGATTAGCCTTTAAAGGTCACATTGTAACTTACTTCATGTAATGCAAGTTTATCCTGGGTATCGGCGTCTAGATCATAAAGAGCTACAAGAGTTTGGCTACTACAAAGTGATTAAGCAAAGGATAGTGATAAATATGTATTAATACTGGTATTTAGATCAATATCATAATAATCTATAGTTGGTGTAATAAAAATTATTGAAAATAATCCAAGTAGGGTTCTTACTTTTGTGCTAAATCAGTTACTTCCTTTCGTTGAGTTAGAGCATGCACTAATGAATGTGACTAGAGAGAATTTAAAAAGTACATTAAAAACTATAACGAAATTTAGGAAATAATTCTAATGTCACATTTCTAAGGAAACAAAGCTACTAACCCTAAGCAACATGTCATTGCTATCTAAAGAATCTATGGATTGTTTCTGTTGAGCCATGGAAGCTTCATCTCGAAATAAAGCTCGCCAAGCAGGAATACGATCTTTCAAAAAGTTGTGATTCTAAAATGATTTCATGTGCAAATATTAGTAAATAACATGCATCGATTACCAATGCCAATAGATCAGCTCATTCGTGAATTTTCAATCGATCAAGAAAAACATTAAATTATAGCTATTCTAATGGATTGAAGTAGTAAATGATGGCAAACACTAGCTTTTTACTAACAAGATAAGACTGGTTGAGTTCTAACCTTTAAAATCGCATAAAAAGCTTACGATATCTGCGGAGATTGCAATTATAAAGATAATAGGAATTACCTTAGCATAATTTGTTGACTCTCTACTTAATGCCTCACAAGTGTAGTCAAGAACCATACAATATCGTTTTCTTTCCTCGTTTAAAGCCTAATGCCAAAAATACCTAAATTAGTACTAATTTCATCTATAGTACGCTATATGATATCGTATAAATTGTCCTCTTGCGTTAAGAGGTCTTGTATCTCAACGATTGTACTTTCCATCATGAACATTACCACTTGTATTAATTTACTCAAAAATCAACCAGTTGATGGCGTGCAACCTAGCTAATAAATTCATCTGTTACCCTTTCAAATTCAAGAACTGTGTAAGCTTCTAATTCATTTTGCTTCTTATTGTATTCGGCTTCACAATCATTGACCTTTTCTTCATATTTCCCGGTGATTCCTTTCTTGCCCTGACTCTTTCTTTTTACTTTTTTTAATTCACCACGTGCTTTATCAAGACCCTAAATCATTATTTAAAATAAAAATAATCTCTTATACGTAGAAGCATGAAATCGTTTTATCTTACAATAAAAATAATTATAATCCGTCCTTTATACATCTATGTATCACCATTAAGCTAATAATTTGTAATATCATAATATTTGCTTGGATAACTGCTACTAGTAAGACACTATGAGTCTATGACGATAGTCACAACAAAGTTGGATAAAATAATAGATATGATACTATCACTATACTTACGTCGCATTTAGCTTTAAAGTTTGATGAGAAGACTTTGTTAATTTTCTATCGATAGATTAGAATCAAGTAATTAATATATTTAATACGATTAATACTTTAATTCATTTACATATTCATCTACAGTTTGACAAACTTTTGCATAGTATAAACAAAGTTTTCATTAGCGAAACTTATGCTAAAGATCGCCGTAAGGAAACCGACAATGGAAATGAAAATACTGATATAGAAAATGCTAAAACTATTACCGTTATATTGTGAATTTGGGCTTCCAAAGTTGTTTCTAGTGGCAGTATATATTCTCCATAAAATGCTTTAGACTAGATTATAAGATAATCCAATATTAACATTAATTTGATCAATCTTTCTAAAGTCTTAATGCCCCATACTACTAGCTTCTCTTCATTCTTTGACTATATAATATGACATTACGCGAGATGACTATATAATCAAGATAGTGCAAGCTAGTTATTAGATAATCCTAAACTCGATCATTAAATGCTACGGAATGATATAGTCCAATCATCAAATTAAAGACTAGTTTAAGATCTAGCTACTGCATACTCGTACATTATTATACGAATTCATATATTAATACAGTACATAGTTTATGACGCCAACAGCGATATTTATCTTGCATAGTTTCATCAGTATCAAATGCGAATTTTAATAGACATTAACGTTCAATTAGAAGGAGGAAACAACTTATTCTATACTAGAATTTCATATCTTACTAGTTGCTGTTTGCTTTTTTCAGATTCTTTATAATAATCCACAATCCCTCCAATTGCATCTCCTATTGTAATACAGTTACATAAGAAACGTAATAATAAACTCTCAATTGGTATACGAATAGAGTTGATATTTTATAAATAGCTGCGGAATATCGATGATTCCAGAGGAAGCTTTGATGTAATTAGTAAAACTGATCTTATTTCGAAGTAAAAAATCGAAAAGAAAATATATTTCCTAGAATAGAATTAGCCACCTAAAGCATTTTCATATCAGTAAACTCACCGATTTCTTTTGAAGGACCACTGGAAGTTTTTGCCATCCGCTCTATCTTTGCCAAGCAGTCAACAAAAACGTTGTGAGCTTTGTCTAATTCTGTAGATAGGATGAAATCAAATAGTAAATCTATCACAAAAAGCTAAGGTTATCTATTATGACCGAAATGCGTCAAAAAAGATACAATTTATGTCAATTTCTACTCTCTAACAAACCATTATACTATTCGTCAAAACCGTGTTCAATACTAGTAGAATTACCAAGTAAAATTACCAACTAGATCATAGTCAGAAAGAACCTAAATTTTACCTTGCTGAGCTTTTTGATATCCACGGCTAGCGATCAATAGTTCACGTAATGCAGGATGGACTTTCTCATTAACATTCTAATCATAATGGAAGACAAGATTAGTAAATAATTAAGACGAAAAAATGGCATCATCGTCGTTAATTATTGATGAACCAAATTAAAGCTGTTTTATAAATGCAATCGCATGGTCGAAGAAAGCTCTGGTGGTAGTATGAGCTTATTTTTTGACCAATATATGCTCTCACCCAAAAAATATAAATATCATAGGTATCTAAGAAATTTTAAATCCGAAATAGATCAAGACATTTCTTGATCAGTACAAAAGATCATTATACATTTGTAGGTAAAGAATTGAATATTATGAAAAAAATAAGGGGAAGATTTTCTTGTCGACAACATAGCAATCATAAGTGAATTATTGTCTTATGTCATTCGTATAACTTATGATGATTGAGTTTGGGCTAAATTAGAAAGCTGTTCACGACTTGCTGTTTTGTTTTCCTATTACTATATAACTTAGTAGAATTTAAGGATATTGACTACTAATTGTATGCAAAGTAAAAACCCGGAATATCCATTACTATCCACTGCTATCCTTATATTAAAATTTGCTATAGCTGAATTTTAAATTAGAATTTTAAGGACATGAAATACTCGCTATTGCTTTAAATTGCAATTTACTAAAGTTAGATTCAAAGTAGAATCTTAGATATTATCAGTTACTGTTGCCTTATAATTTACTACAGTTAGACTCAAATTTGAGTTTTACTGATGTTAGTTAGCCATTGCAGTGTACATATAGTATAATTAGCTAAAATTTGATCCGAAGTAAAGTTTTAAGAATATTGACCGCTGCTTTTATATTAGGAATGAAATACTAAACTTTAATTCAAATTAGAGCTTTATAGATATCAGTATTGTTACTCCAGCTATTATATTGTAATTCACTAAACCTGGATCCAAAGTAGAGTTTTACGAATATCGACAGCTGTCCTTACGTTAAGAGTTATTAAATTTAGATTTAAACTAGAATCTTGGCTGGCTATTACTGCTTTTCTATCGTAATTTAGATATAGCTCGCTGAAGCTAGATTCTAAGAATGTCGATAGCTATTTTTGTTGAAAAGATATGAAAAAATATCCTAGTATGTATGGAAAGTCGAAAGGGAATTACGACAGTAATCATTGAAGTTATGATTTTAGTCTCCTAGCCTAATTTTAGTAATCGTTTCTTATCTAGTCATGAAAAATCGGTCAATTAAATAATGGGTATTGATTTATATCCAAGAAAAGTTGTAGATCTATGCCGTAGATTGCTCATTAAAATTAATATTAAGACTGTCATCGATTCAACATAGAGCGAATTACAACGATTGATAGGATAAAAGCTAAATAGTTATGCGTAAATTTAAAACTATTCTGCTTTAATAAGTGGCTAGTGACAGTATCCTAGACTTATTGATTGAAAGTTAATTAGCAACTTTAATCAGTGGGATAAACCTTGTAAATCTTAACCTCAATGATATTCCATGAAAGGTTGAAAGAAAAGAAATATAATTGGACCTTGTCTTAAAACCTCATTTCTCCTCCCCTGTATTTGGAAAAATTCTTCTTACTATACTCGCTCTATTAGAATTTAGATGAGCGATTTTCAAGTCTCACAAGCATTATAAATCAATATAGATCAATAGGATATGATTGAGTGATTCTGTTTTATTCTTAAGTATCTATTTCTCTTCTTCTCCTTAGCACACTCTCTATCGAGGCTATTTCTTTATCTATCCTCTCACTAGAATAATTACTTCATACGATACGGTACCCTTTTTAGACTGAAACTATAGTATGCTTTTATTCCTCTTTAAAATTTAAACGAATGAATTGGAGGTCTTGGAGTAGTAAAGCTGAATATTGATTTAATCTTTTTTAAACTAAAATCGAGAGTCGTTGTTTAATAATATTTAATCGAAGTTTATATATGAATGATTGTACCTCTAATCCTTTACTTCCTTCCCTATAGTATACTAATATTCTTCTTGAAAATTTAGACTAGAAGGTTGAAGTCTCAGAGTAGTAGGATTAAGTAAAGGTTAACATAGAACGTAAACGAATGATTACATTACTGACTCTCTGCCCCTTCTCATAGTTTAATCTATCACCATGATTACAACTCTTCAGCTTCTTCCAAATATTTCGTTAGTTCCGAATTCGGATAGAGTATTTAAATGGAGGTAATTGATAGACTAGATAGGGATTCGATAAGAACTATACAGCATTCGAATCAATTAGTTACCCCTGTCTCTCTCCCTCCTAATTGAAATGATTCACTTCCTCTACTTTATTCTATGAGTGGATAATATCCAAATTTGAATAATTTAAATGAAATTTAATCTTCATTTATAGGCAACCAGGCATAAAAGAATGATTTGTAATTATGATTAGCTCAATCCTTCCTTCCATTCTTTTGGTAGTAATGAAATGATTATAAATTCTACTTTACATTAACAATAAAAGTTTGTGTAGGAAAAGAAAAAATCGATTGAATAATTACACAAGCAAGGGAATAAAATATAAACCTCTACAACTCCCTAACAAAATCACAAAAAAAGTCAAAATTCTATTAGTAAATTTGACTACGATAAGCATTGCATAGAAAGTTGAAAAATATGGAAATATCTACTTGCACAATCAACATTTTCCTTTTCTGTACCAAGGTGATGAGTTGATTTTATATTGAGATGGTGGGTTGATTGATTTAATTTAATAAGTAAACTTATTAAAAGAATAGTCAGTTGGTTTTATATTAACAAATAGCTCTCCCAAAAGTTCTAATTACCATTATACCAACTAAGTTAAGTGAAAGTGATGCTATAATGGCGGAAAGAGCTGATTATTCTGTCTGGTATACCCACTTTAATGAAAAAATGTAGCTTTCAAGCGGGATCGTGAAGTAGCTTAATTATTGGAGCCATCATGAATTTGCTTAAAACACTAACCTATAGGGAATTTTATAGTAAAGACTTGCTTAGCATAAGGAAGATTCTAATTTTGCTAAAATGGAACTAGATAAGTCAATAATAATTCTTCTAAGGTAGTGGATAGAAGGACTATTCTACCTTATTTCGGCATGCACTCTGTTGGAGAAGATGTTACTTTTGAAGTAATTCCCAAGTAGTTTAGTTTAAGATAATAAATTTTATCATCAGTATCACTTTCATGGGAAGAAAATGATAGTAAGGGGCTCGCTTAACATTGACTGTACCTAAATTTGCTGTAATACATAATATTTAATCGAAAAGATTCTTCTAGAACGCTTCAAAGACCTCTCTATCTAATATACCCATTCCGTTGGAATAGTTAATGATTTCAAAACAATTATAAAGTGATTCGGTAAAGATGACCATATTTATAATATTGTTGACATAAGAGAAAAAATATAGCCCGAAAGTGATCAAAACTTGCTTGTAAATGATATTATAAAAGTAGATGGAACAAATAAAATATCTATATCGAGCACTATCGATAGAAATTAATAACATTAAGTACATAAATTTAAAGTATTACTGTGGAAAAAAATCTATCCTATCATCACTGAAGGAATAAGTCAGGGAAATAGTACCAGTACTACTCGTATTCATTTAAAATACTTTTCCCTATCATACGAGTACTTATGGATCATTTCATATCATAAATTATTGTTTTAAAGGAATGAAATAGCTCAAGTTTTATAAAGTCTCGTTAAAAGATTGATATTTTTATTTCAAATAAGATGCCCAATAGATACAAGATATTACCCTAACGAATTAGCAAAGCTATTTTTTGATATTAGAGATGTAGAGTACGAGTGCTCGAAAGAATGGACATTTAAGTGTAGCGATGAGGAGAGAGTAGCCAGTTTAGTTGTCTCTCTAGGTTGTCATTGACTTTTGAATCTACTTTATCCTGCTATTATATTGTCTGTAAAAGGAAAGGACGGATAAACCTTGGTTAAAACTGATTTTGAGTGAGTACTTTTAAATTGGATACCAGTACGTTAAATGCACGACCGAGATGAAGTGGTAATGCAAGGATATCATTTCATGCTGTCGGTATAAAATACTGTAGCTCAATAGAAAATATGTTTATTCTATCTTGATCATAAAAGCAAGAAGGAAATAGCCATCTGTATTTCGAACTGTTTATTTTACTGACTTTTGAATCTATTTAGGCCTTCATAATATTGCTATAGAAGGAAATGGAAAGGCAATAACGGGATGAAAAGTGGGTCGAAATCTATGTCATTTTTAAGCCTGATATGAATAGAATACATAATGAACTATCGAAATGAATTAGTAGAAATGAACGTATAATTTGATCAATTGATTTGGTAAAAACGAATTTCATAAAATATAAAATATTTTGTGACAAGAAGGGAAAGAATAGCACTTTCTATGACTATGCTAGTGCCTTTTACATCTTTAGTACTATCTCAGATCAGCCTACGAACTACCTTGGATTAATCATAAGAAAGTGTTAATTAGTGATAGGCCATTCCGTTTATCGTTGAAATCATTATAAGCTGGTTTTTTTAATCTCTCATTTTTATCGCTCTTTGAAATTCTGTAGATTATAAGTAAGAATAGACGAATAAGTGGCAACAAGTTTGACGTTGATAAAAAAAAGAAATGGTTTCATGCTAATGATTATCTAGTCTAAAAATAAACTATGGAACGTAGGAGTAGGAATAGAAAATCCAGACAGGAATAGCAAAGTATTTTATCACCATTATTCTAGAGATTGCATTTATTTGAAGTATTTGTCAAGGGAGAAAATAATAAAGAATACCTTATAGATGAAATCGGTTTGCTTCTGTAATTCCTGTACATTCGACATGGTAGCTTTCTTTCCTTTATTCTTTGAGCTATCTTGATCTTTCGTCTATTTAGATCGAAATAAATTTGCGTTGAAAGTTGTAAATAGGCGAGATGAAGACAACCTTGAGCTATACTTGGAGCTTTAGCGTAGCAATTGTAAAAAGGAGGCAAACCTTACCAATTTCCTTTCTTAATAGCTTGATCTGATAGAAGAATTGAGACGAGAATTTCTCCTACTGCAACTTGGGTTCCTGAAAAGGAAATAGAGCAAATCGATCAATTTAAAGAAATAGGAATGTTGATTAAGAATTGGAGATGGGTCCCAGTAAAAGTAATGATGAATAGTTACTGTACAAACAGAATTAGAAAACATTATTAAAACCCAACCCATATCAATAACTACCACGATGGAGAGGATTAAATAGCCATATTAATGACTTACTTGTCTTTTTCCACCTTACTAACGATAGTCTACCGTAGTGGATTGTCTTGATGACTAGCTAATGCAGTTTTTTGTCTAATCTTTCAGTTAATTTTCCCCAGTAAATCCTGAACAAACTTTTACAAGGTAAATTTTGATGAGCTATAAGACCAATGACGACGTAAAAAATGAGTCTGGCAAATCATGCAATAAAGCTTATGTCTAGTTGATGATTAGCCGATATTCAATTGAATATTAATTATTATATAGAATAGACTTGCCTACCATTCAATAGAATGATGATAGGA